TTTAGCTAATCCTGCTTATCTTTCAGGTGTCCACTTAAATGTCACTTTCTCAGGAAGGCAACCTTAGGTTAGCCCTCCTTGCTACAAGTTCCCTTGGCATTCCGTATTTTCCCTCTCTTAACTTTATCATACTTAATTGTTACTACTTTTTAAAAGTCTTTACAGACATACTATAAGATATGTCTGTTTTGGTAAATATGTATCTCAACACCTAGCAATGTGCCTGGTCCATAATAGGTGTTTTACATAAATATGGTTGAGTTTCATCAGTGATTTACTTGCCTACATGTTCTAGCTAGCTATATTTCAGTAGAATTGAGATTGTACATAGTTGTATTACCTGATTTCTTTTTTTTAAGCATTCAATTAATTTAATTTTTATAGAGGTGATGATGTAGTTCAAAAATCAAAGACTATAAAAATGTGTAAGTCTCTCTCTCACCTAATGCCGTCTGCCCAGTTCCTACTTGCTTTTCATCCTTGTTGCTAAGTTTTTAAGTATATTTTCAGATTTTATTTATGGAAATACCAGCAACTATATACATATTTACCCACGCTCACATTAATATTTCCTCCCTCTTTACACAAATTATAGAAAACTCTATTTGCTATTTTGTACTCTGATTTTTTCCATCTAATATGTATCTTAGAGACTTTTTTATATTGGTTTATAGAGCATGTCCTTTTTTGGTAGTTGCATAGTATTCCTTTTTTTTGATGCTACTGTAAATGATTTTTTTTTTCAGCTTTGTTTCTGGTATATAGGAATACGATTGATTTTTAGTATATTGGTTGTCTCTCCTGCAATCTCATTAAACTCTCTTATTAGTTGTAGTAGTTTTTTATATATTCCAGCAGATCTTCTACATAGACAATCATGTTATCTATGAATAAAGATAGATTTGCTTCTATTTTTCTAACTTAGATGTCTTTTATTTCTCTTTCTTGCCTTATTAACACTGGCTGCAATGTGATCTTCCATGTGACATTGACTAGAAATGATTTTGAGAAGTGAGGACCCTTGTCTTGGCCCAGGGTTAGTAGGATATTATTCAACCTTTCACTCATAAGTTCTTGCTACCATAAAATTGGCATATTTTTTTCTTCCTTCTGTCTCTTCACCGTCTCTTCTATCACTAGATTTTAATCAATATCTCAACATTTATTTTTATACTGTTAAATGTGCTTGTAGTTCCAGTTTTAATTGTGAGCTTTAAGAGATGTCTTTTGACTGCCAGCTTATGGATAAGACCAGTGAATCTTTTCTAGCTCTCACCTTCTTTTCTCCTTCTCCTCCTAATTTGTCTCAATATAAATCTTTTCCTCATTGTCAGAAGGCGTCTGTTCTCTCACCCATATGCCCATGTTGTTTCAGGCTTGCTTTTGCTGTTAAATATAATGAATGCTCATCACTATTACTCTTGCTGTTGCTTCCCCAGTTATTTCTTGGTTGCTGAAGCATTTTCTTCACAAAGGTTCATGAGAACAATCTTCTTTGAGGTCTTCAAATTGTTTGTCTCTAACTTTTATATTGAAAAGCATTCTGGTTTTCATTAAGGATCTCAAAAATATTGCTCTATTATTCTGGCATTCAGTGTCACTGTGGGGAAATCTGAGGTTAGCCTCAGTTGTTTTTTCCCCTCTCCTAAGTGACTAATCTTTTATCCTTGCTGTTTCTTTATTTTTGGAATCCAGTAACTTTATTGCATTGGGTCTCATTGTAGGCCGTTTTTCCCTGGGATATGATGTACTCTTTCAATATCTAGATTCAAGCCTTTTTATTACAGGAAAGCTTTCTTGAATTATATCTTGAACTATTTGTTCTGTTCCATTGTTTCAGTTTTCTTATTCAGAGATTCCAGTTGTGTATATATTAGTGTTTTCTCTCTTCTTTCTATTCTCTCTCCTTTCTTCCTCTTCCTCTCCCATTCCCTTTCCCTTTTCCCTCTTCTCCCTTTCCTCTCTTCCATTCTCTCTTCTTCCCTTCCCAACCCCAAATACTTCATTTACCACTCAACTCTCTGCAGGTTATATCTCACCCATCACTCTACTTACTATCTAATCAGGAAGATGAAACACCTTCTTACTAAAGATACCAACAATAACCAATTGCTGAATGCAATGAACATATTTCAGATCTTATTCATTATCAGTGCCGTGTTAAACAGCAACGATCTCTGTTCTTCCTTCTTGGAATTCTGTATCCTGTAGACACCTGTGACTGGGTACCCTTCTGACTTTTAAATCCCTGTGACTTTTCTGAATTGGATTTTGTTTCCATCCTCTGAACATTTCATAAATATTGGTCTTCCTCAGGATTTTGTCCATTGTTGACTGCTTTTTATCTCTCTCTATTATCCTTGGACAGTTGTATTCATAGGTGTTTTTTTCTCTGATAATTTAGAAATCTGTAATTCTAACCCAGATGTTTCAGATTACTGTATCCAATGTCTTCTTATTCAACATCTAAGTAAAGATAATCCTCAAATTTAGTGTAGGCCAAACTGCACTTAGTGTCTTCTAACACCTCCTCCCACATTCCTAATCTCATTTTGTGACCTCTTTATTTAACCATAACTCAAACCAGAAACCCAGGAGTCAGAGACTCCTCCCAATGCTTTCCAACCCATGATCAATCTGTCACCAAGCTCTATAGTTTTGCTTATAAATATTTCTTAATTCTGTCTACTGTTCTTGTGCCTACTATCACTACCTTGGTTAGTCCCCTGTTTCTTTCTTTGAGTACTGTGACAGCCATCTTCAGTCTTGGTTTTCCAGATCATCCCACCACACTGTCACCACAGTGACCTGTCTAAAGGTATAAATCTGATGTCACTAATTTTACTGTCTATTAAACTCTATAGTCTATCCATAGTACTAGGCCAGGCACTTAATTCTTTATTTTATTTCTTTAATCATTTTAAACATGCTTTTTAAAATAGTTTCTACCTGATAATTGTATTATTTGAGGTCTTGGAGATCTACTACTACTGACATTCATTCATGGTGCATTATTTCATGAGGTACTTTCAAATTTTTTATTGTGAAAACATCTTCAATGGGACTTTGTTGGTAGTACTTATTTCGCCTATGTTCAGGACTATTGCTGGAGACTGTTTGAGTTCATTTCTTTCAAGTACCCCAGGAATATCCTGTTTCAGGATCACTTTTTAGGTTAACTTCTTAGTTCGATTTTTCCCATACTGAGAAGATAGTATAAATTCAAATCCCACATTCACCTGTGGACAGGGTCTTGATTACAGATTCTTGGAGCATACAAATTTACCCCCATTGAGTCCAGACTGAGAGAAAACCTTCCTTGTCATCTTTCTATGCCAATAAGCAGATTTTTTTTCTTAATTTCCTTTCACCGAGGATGTAGCTTTTCAAGAATCTTGGTTTTAGGCAGGTCCTCCTCTTCAGTTCCCTGTGTTACAGGGGTCTAAGGCTTCAGCTTCTTTCTGGCATTGAAACTCAAGCACTTCTGTGACCAACAAACCCACCGGATCGTATCAGTAACAGTGACACGTGACAGTTTGGAGCTTATTCCTTTGGTTTTCAGTCCTATTCACTTTTAGACCCTGAGTATTGCCCTTACTTTCTTGGGAGCTCAGCTGTATGTTTTAAAAATGTTTATTAAATTTTCTCCAGCATATCTAGGGAGGTTCCCACACCCTCTTTATCTAGCCCACTGTATTCTCATTCGGGGTTAAGATTTGATACAGCTCTAACACTTTTCACATCTGTGATTTTAGTTACTATTTTTTCCTATTTCACCATATTATAAGGGTACAAATGTTAAGGTTACATACATTGCCCTTGCCCCCTCTCTCCCCTCAAGTCAGAGCTTCAAGTGTGTCCATCCCCCAGATGGTGTGCATCGCACTCATTATTTTAGTTCCTATTTTTGAAGAATCTAAATAAGACTATAAATCTAGTCATGAGGAATATTGATGACTTAAGGAAGCAGATGGGTCAGGAGTAGCCGTATAATCCTTTCAGGATTATAGGTCCTTCTTCAGACACCTCTCTCTCAAATGATAAGGGTTTCTTAGTTTTGACCTTTTTATCAGACAGGTATTGGCATATAGTGTGCTTTTTCACATAGAACTTCCTCCCTCCTGATGGGATTTTTTTTTCTGCCTGGAACCTAACCCTTCTAGGATTTAAAAAAGGAAACCATTTCCCTGGAGCCAGCAGAAAATGAGAGTACTGCTGAAATCTGATGCTTGGTTACTTGACAATTTTAAGTCATAATAAGCTACTGTTTCTCCTTCAAACTCTTTCCTTTGAAAAGGGCCAAAATTGTGGGTTGCCATTTACTTGATATGAGTCCATTCATAATGAATTTAAAGCAGCCAAAATATTATGAAACTGAGAAGTTAAATCAACCTTAATTAAAATAGCTGGTTTGGAGGATGGTGGCAAAATATGTACAGCCTTAAATTTACCTGAGCCACCAACAGGACCAAATATATCCTATTATCAATTTGATGTATTTTTTTCTTTGTAAGTTTTCTTTACAAATCTGAGAGATAAATACATATTTCCACCCAGTATTTGTTTTAATGTTATTGTAAACTCTTTATAAGCTTGTAACATACATATAATATTTTATTTAAATAGCTAAATTTACTTAACTATTTTCCCATGTTGTATATTCAGTTTAATTAAAATTTCTTCTTTTCCCTTTCCCACTGCCTGTTCCCTTCCTTTTCTTGCTTCTTCTTTTACAAAGCTGCAGTAAATGCCCTAATGCATTAAGAAAAAAATTTTTTTTTCCTTAAATGTATTTAGGATAAGTTTCCAGAAACAGAATTACTGAGTCAAAGTGTTATCATATTTTTAAGACTTTGGTCACAGAGTGCCAAGTTACTTGCCAAAAGAACGGTACAAAGTTATATCCTCCCAACAATCTAACAGCATCTTAAGCAGACTTCTTTCATTAGGCCATTGAACAGGGGTATGGGGCTGATGCTTTCTTTATGGTTCCTTTACAGGACATGGTGCCTGTCATAGTTGATTACTGCCTTCTGCTACAACGAAAGTAAGTATGCATTGCCTGTCAGATTCAATTATTTTGACCCCAGGTAGCCTCTTATTTATGTGTAATTCACTGCTATGAATTCTGTGAATTTGACTGGATAGGGTTTTAAAAAAATTATATAAATTTGATTTTTTAACAGTTTACAGTCCATTCGCCTAATAAAATTAACTTTTCTAAAACAGATGCTATGAGTATATCATCTGTGTATTTGTGTGGCAGTATAATGGAGGTGAAGAACATAACCAACAAAAAGAGCAATACTATTTAGAGGTCCTGGAAGCAAAAAGTGTATGAGTCAGGCAATGTATATGTACTCTTTTCTTTCTTTCTTTTTTTCCATATATACTCTTTTGTGAATCATCACTAAAGCACAGTATTTCATACCACCCAAAAACCTGGATTCATTGTGATTATGCAGTATTGGTTTTTTAGAGCCTTTTTGTTTAATGGAAGTCAGTATAAGTAAACTCTTAAATAGGCTTTTTTAGTTTAAATAGTTAACTGTATAAATTAACTAACTTGTGCTAATTCAGTTTTTTCACACTAATAGCCAGGTGTTGTTCTAAGCCCTTTACATTAATTGATCTAATTTTATAGCAACTTATCTAGTTTTTATAGCAACGAGGGTGATATGATTTTTTTCACTAGATAATTACATAACACTATAGCTAAAACATTGGAATAAATTTGAACCCCAAGTAAACAGAACTAGTAACTAAGCACTAAGTAACAGAACTTATATTATATTCATTGGGAATTTATTTATTTGATTCTGGTTATATATTTAGTATAGATTGGCAAGGGTTAGGATTGATGCCCTTGCTCCCATCAGACAGTTCTGACTTTATAATTATTTTATCATCACAGCAGTTTCTCATATTTTTAAAAAATTATAAAATTGATAATGTACAAAGTGAATTTAACAATTTTTCTGTATCTGAAGTTATAAATGATAAACTCTAAAAATATCTTTAATATGAACATTAATATAAAGGAAGTTTATAGAAAGATCTCTTTGGCCTTCCATTATTCATAATGGATTTTCTGTTCTGCCAGCCATAGGGAGGCTGAGCTTGAAATGGTAAAAAGCAATTTTGAAGTCAGCCCTTGTAGGAAACAAGTCAGTGTGCTGAGAATAGTGCCTAAATATAGAAAGAAACATGAAAGCTACACATTTTTTTGAGTATACTTTTCTTTCTCCCCCTCTCTTGATGCTCTAATAAATATTCTCCCAGAATGATGAGACCATGTCTTGGAATTTTGTTTTGTTTATTTTATGTAGAGATACAGATGGGAGTTACTGATACTTATTTTTCTTGCTTCTTTGTTATAGCTCCTGGTTTAGTCAGAAAGAAATGTGTAGTTTTGCCAAGAATCTTACCGGCATTACATGCTGTCTTTGTCACTGGAGTGCCTTGTTTGTCAACTTTTATGCTCTGTTTACTAAATTTTTAGCTCTTTAATTCTCTTCACTACAGCTTTTTGTACTGAACTAAAATATGTAATTATCTTCTTTAGCACATTATTTTTAACAACACATTACAGAGTGCAAGGGTTAGCAAATATGACTTTTTCTTTGAATTTATTCAAGTTATTTTGTTACTCTTTCTTTCTTACAGTAAAACTTCATTAATCTCAGTTTGTTTTGCTTGGCTAGTAATTTAGTAATCACAAAAATATGAATTATTGATTAAAATAAAATCAACATGAAAAATGCTCTGATAAATATGGAGGGGAAAATGATGCAAAATTATATTTGTGCATTTGAGAAAGAAAATGGATATGGATTTTCCCCAGGATATCACAAATTTTGTTTATTGAAAGGTGGCACATGGTTCTAGTGCAGTTGTAGACAGTATGTTTTCCACACATCCTGTTCCAGGACTTCAGATGAGGCAAAACCTCCATCCCACTCCTTCAAGAGCTCCCTTGACCTTTTTGTGGAATTTGTTATGAAAGATCATACCATCTACTACTTTCCATAATTGACATGATATACTATAAAGAAATGATACATTTAGGGAAAAAATAAATAAATAATCCCAGCAGACAAATAAAATTAGCACAGATTTTTATTCAAAAAAGTGGAATGAACAAATAAGTAAATGATACAAGGCAATATAGTTTATAAATGGAAACATGGAAAATATTCAATTTTGCCAGTCATCAAAGAATTGAAAACAATGATGTCTAATTTGTACTTATTAAGTTATTAGGGGGAGATAAAGAAACTCACAATTATCTGGTGAAACAGATATGATTATACATTGCTAGTGCCAATGTAAATTGGTGTTGTGATGCTTTTTGAAAATAATTTAGTAGCATATATCAAGTGCCAGAAAATTTTTCATATCTTTTCACTCACAATAAAGTTCCGAAACTCAAATGACTTAGGAATTAAGCCCCTAAAATGGGAAAGGATGTATAGGTAGATGTTCATTGTAGCATCAGTCAGTGTGAAAATTAAGTGATATATCCAACACTATACAGGAATAGTTAAGTAACTATTTTCAGCATATTGAAGCATTGTAAGTTAGAAAATAATTTGGTAATTTTAAAGACTATGTAGCAATTTTGAATAACACTTATCATATAATGTTGCATGAAATAGAATTCAAAATTATATCTGTGCTGAGTATAACTCAGATTATTTATGGACTATTTACAGAAGTAATATGAAATAAATAAAACATTGAGAGTATTGACATTTAGAGTAATTTAAAAAGATTTTGTTTCTGTAATAAAATTGTTTCTAGGTATATATTTTAAATATTAAATATTTTTCATCTTCTCAGATCAATAATCATTACCCAAACCTTTTATGAAGCAAAGGCTTAGAGTTAGATAAAGAAGCTTATTGGCTCTGCAGGTCAGCTAGGAATATTTAGATAGCAGGAAGAAGGAAAGAATAAACATGAGTAGTCCTTTTTGATTTTTTTCTTCTACTTCATTATGTCTACCCTGTTACCATGTAAATGTTGTCTTTAAGAAACAGTATGTCAAAATAGACTAAGCACAGGATTTAAGCCTGAAGGCTGGGTTCAAATTCTGACTCTGACTTGTTAGCAATGTGACTTTTAACAAACAATATAACTTATTCAACTTTTCTTGTTTGTAAAATAAGTATTGATTGGCAAGATTAATGAAATAGTATATCTAAAAGGTTTTTGTAATATAAAGCTCTGTGTAAATATTGTTACTATTTTTAATAAACTCCTAAGTAAGTTGAAATAGGGAAAGTAGGAGAGATATACTTATCAGACTAAATTTAATGATATTTGAAATGTTCCTAAAAGTATTTTTTCCCATTCTGTTATAGGGATCTCTTATTTAGTCAGATATATGACAAATTAAGTGAGAATTCAGTGGCCAAAGGAGTGTTTTTGGAGTGCCTCGAACCATATATTTTAAGTGATAAATTGGTGGGTATCACACCCCAGGTAATGAAAGACTTGATTGTTCATTTCCAAGATAAGAAGTTAATGGAAAATGTGGAAGCCCTTATTGTGCATATGGATATCACCAGCCTGGATATTCAGCAGGTAAGTTTATTGACAGTCTACTAACTTACAAAATAAACATTGTTTCTCTACTGATTATATTTATTTGACTGATCAGACCTCACTCTGCCTTCTAAAAACCCTAATTATTTATTGAGCACTTTTGGTAAGATGTCTTATAAGTTTGTATTTATGAGTATATTTCTTAGGACGTAACCCAAGTGAAAGCTAGATTATAAATGCCTGTAAGCCAGGAAGTATGTCTTCTATTTCTTTCATATCCCCCAGAGCGCTTGGCATAGAGTTTGCATTTAGTAGTTGCTTAATAAATGCTTGTCGACTGATCCTTCTTCATCAGTTTGTTTACTAATACAGTTTTCATTCAGCAAGTGAATTTCCACTATGGATATTTTCACATGAGTAATACAATATGCCTTTAAAGAGTATGATGCCATTTTTTTTTTATAAGAGCTAGTATGTAAGTCCAGAGTTGAGTTTTGAAATGCAGAATGTGGTATAAGAGGCAAATTATAAGACTTTTTATAAAATACCTCCAGTTTATCTAAGGTCCCCACAATAAGTTTCAGTCCTTAATTAAGGAGCAGTATCTATTCTAGCTAAGACATTTCACAATTCAATTCTTTAATTTCACGTTAGTCCTAATAATGAGCATGTTACTCCCACAAAGGTGCTAAACCCTCTGGAGCTTGAATATGGTAACTTACACTAAAGGCCTTAACCCAAAAGTTATTTAAAGTGTGCAAAATCACATAGAAATGAAGAGTTTGGTTATTGTTTTCTTTTTGGAAGCTCCTAATAGTCTTCACAGTCTGACAACAGGTCCAATGATTCAAGAGCGTGTTATCAATCTAGCTTTATTTACCTATCACATATAGGAGAAATTTTTAATTTCTTCTCTTTCCAATATTTTCAGATTTTCCCCAACACCATGCAAATATGCTCTAGTCTTTTTTATGTTAAAACAATGACTAAAAAGTCTTCCCTTCAGTTTCTCAAGTCCCCATATCAATCCTTCTCCCCTTCTTCTCTATAGGTAACTGCCCCATCTCACTCCTCCCAGTCACAGCCAGATTTCTTGAAAACATTGTTTAGGATGCTATTTTCATATTTTTACATCCTAATAACTCTTCAATCTTACTTTTACTAGAGTCAGCAATGGCCTTAATGTCCACTGTATCAAATGATATTTTTCAATCTTTATTTTACTTATTCTTTTAGCATTTGTTTATTCAAGAAACCTTTATTTAGTGTCAGTCTCTGAGAATGTTTCAGTGTCCCTGATGAACAAGGCTTGTCCTCTCTTAAAGCTTAAATTTAGGCAGAAATGTTTGACAGTAAACGGATATATGTAAACAAATCAGAAAATATCCAAAAACAAATGTTACATTAAATCAAACAGGGCAGTATGGTAGAGAATGAGAGGCTACCTTAGATTGGCTAATTATGGAAAGCCTTTCCGAGAAGGTAACATCGAGTCTTGGAATTAGAATGACAACAAGGGATCAGTAATGCAAAGATCTTGGAAGAAAAGATTGTTGTAGATAAAAGCAGGAGCTAATGTGAAAAATAAAAGAGTCATGCCTTGGGTGTGCAAGTAACAGGAAAAGGCAAGCAGATCTGGAGCCTGGTGAAAATGAGAAGTAGATCTTACAGAACAAGATAGAAAATTTTCCATTTTAAACCAAGTACTATGAAAAATCATTAGAAAAGTTTAAGCAAAAACACTGTGGTTTACTTTAGGGGCAGCAGAATGAGGTTTGGGGGCCAAGAACAGAGGAAGCAAAGAGACCAGGTAGGAGGCTGGTGCAGGAGATATTCTGGCCAGAGATGGTAGCAGTGAGATGGAGAGAGATAGCCTGATTTTGGATGTTTTATAGATAGAATTGATTTGCTGATGGATTGTATGTGAAGGTTTGGGAATAAGAGACGTCAACAATGATGTCTAGTTTTTTGGTTTGAGAAACAGGGTGGATAGTGATTCCTTTAAGAAAAATGTAAGAAAAGGCAGGTCTAAGTTTGAAAGACAAAATCAGAAGTTCTAGTTTGCCATTTTATTTTGAGATAGCTCCATTTAGGTGAAGATATAAGTAAGTGGTTGGAGGAGAGGTTAGGACTGAAGCTATAAATGTGTCAGTCATCAGTGAAGAGATGTATGATCATGGCACTGACTGAGAGAGGGGAGGGAGAGAGGAGGTCCCAGAGCATGTCTTCTCTAGAAAGACTCTCCCAAGACACCTCAGTTCCATTTTCTCTCTTACCTCCCTGGCTTCTCCTTGTCATTCTCTTCTGCTGAACTCTGTTCTTCTCCTTCAGCCCCCTTGCCACTCTGTAGTATTCTATAGCTCTCATATGGACAGAATATAGAGTATTCGATATGCCAAGTCATGTCTAGTGCTATTCCTAAATATTTTCTCAAATTGATTTCTTGCAATCCTTAAACACTTAGCTCACCTTCACTTTAGGCCCTTCATCCTTACTGCTGCTTTTGCTCGCAAAATCACTAGTTTCCATTTCTACTATTGGCTCTCATCTATCCATCCTTTAGGTCCCAATTTAAATGTTGCTCCCTCAGGGTTGACTTTTTGAATACTCCAGATCAAGTCAGGTTTATAACATTTACCAAATTGTAAATAATGGATTATTTGTATAATTGAGTGTCTTCCCAAGTTCTTAACCCACACACCATTTTGTGCCTCTTCCTGGTTTGGGTGAGTGTTCAAGATGAATGTAAGTCCTCTAAGGGTAGGGACAGGTCTGGATTTGTCTTATCTGTCACTTCATCCCCAGTACCTAGGAGAGGGCTTGAAAATAGGTGTTAAGTAAATGTTTGTAGAACTATTGACCAGAGGTAAAATGAATGTTGGAAAGGGGAGGATAGAAAGGAAACAAAATTATACATTGGAGAATGTTTAAAAAGTTGCAATTAAACTATTATGCTATTGTATATTGTACACTAAAGTATTAATAGTATTGAACCTACAACAGCTCTTACCCTGGCATTGTGTTTGAGTACTTCAATTTTAATTTTTATCAGAGAAGAAATAAGAAAAATTGGGGAAGGAAATTCAAGCTCTTCATTATTAAAGCTGTAAGGAAAATAATTGGTGAGACTTATTAAATTGTATGGTCAAGAAGCCTTTTCCTTTTTACAGGTAGTTCTTATGTGTTGGGAAAATCGTTTATATGATGCTATGATCTACGTCTACAACAGAGGCATGAACGAATTTATTAGTCCAATGGAGGTAAAATACTTTCTAACTTATACACATATTTAACATTGTCTATTAATGTTTTTCCTATTGTCCATTTGCTATAATTAGTTTCCCTTTCTATCCAGTTATTTCAAAATTTCTTGTAAATTTATTAGACTTGTGCCCATTTTAGCTTGGTGTCTTTAGATATTTTTCAATTCCGTACATTCTGCTATTGCTTTCTTTCTTGTTGACATAAGTAGGTATTCTAATGCAAGGAAACAATTAGTAAAATTTACAGTAATGCTTGCTTGTTAGACTTTACATTTTTTTCTCCTAAGAATTTTTGATACTATAACTTTTCCAAAAGGTATAAGAAATTTATTGTATATAATTATCATATATAATAAATAAGCTATTGAGTAATACTATTTGTAGATATGTTCTACGAATGAAAGGTCCTGAAAATGGGAGGAGGCCATTATTTGTTAATTGCTAACTTGTAACTTTTCCCAATCCACAGTTTTATAGCATTCATTATAATTTTTTATTCTCCTTACCAAGAGAATCTAAAAAGCATTTGGGCTTATTTTAAGAAGAACCAAACCTCATATCCATCTTGCTATTTGTCTTAAATTTGAGGACAGAATTGTGGCTAACAGGTTGAAGACACATATAGTGCCCTCCCAGCCCACTGCTTTATTGTAGTGATTAATGTACCTCAAGCCAGGCATACACTGAAGCCATCTGGTCAATGTTTTGCAAATTTATTATCATCCAAAACTATCTTTAGTATTATGAAGTCAGCAGTCATTCTATGATAGTTCAGGTTTCTTTAAGCACATTGAGCCTGATAGGGTGAGTATCCCTCTAATTCATAACTGTTTAATTTTGGTTGTACTTCACTTCTCTTGGTCAGTTTCTAAAATTAGTGCCCCACCCCACTTTCGCTGGTTTCAGCCTTGGTTATCAGTATGTCAAGTAAGTATTTTCTGCCCATAAACACTTCTCAGCTGCTTCCTCACCAAAGTCCAGCACTTCCCTGCGAGTTACCTCCTCTGGGAGGTCCAGCACCTCCTCACGTGCAGAAAAGTTCTCTGTGCCACAACCAAGCCCCAACTAGTAAGATTGATGCAGTTTCTAGTTTCTCTCAGTCCCTCAAAAACAGATTCTATTTCGATGCATTTTATATTGATACAAATGATTGCTGTATTTTTATTACACTGCTTGCAAAATTTTTGCTCTGTGTGGGTTTTTTATTCCTCACAATCTGGTTTACATTTATATCTGTGTATCTCAAATGTAATAGTGGGCTATTGAGGCTGCCTTGTTTTGTGTTCAGAGTAGTTTTCAAGTTTAATGGCTTTTAGAAGGAGCTTAGTACTTGCTATTAAATAGTCACTTGGAGATTTTAGCAGTGGGAGGTTAGGTGTATCCTGTGATTCTTCTTTTATAATTCTCTGCCTATGAGGAAATCACTTTTCAGTGTTTAAGGTTTAGCTATTTTAATACTTAAAGAGTTCTGAATTAAGAGATGTCCTGCCTTTTGAAATTTTCTAGATTTTTAAGAATGAATGACAGTGTCATCACATTTGAGATGACTCCTATAGCCTCTGGAATCTTTCATTAGTTCTAGTTTTGACTGTTTCGGAGGTAAAAGTAGTGCCTTGTGTTTAGGTCCTAGTGGTGAAGGAGACGGGGTGGGAGGGTTGGGGGATGACAATATACAGATTAGCAGGAAAAAAGATGAGTTTATTCATGTATGTGTGGGAGGACTCAGTGATGAGTAGCTCTGCTGAATAGCCAGAGGTAAAGGTTTATATACCAGCTTAACAAAAATGGGGGGTAGAGTTAGGTCTTCAATGGTGCAAAATATGGAAGGTTCTTTTGGGCTTTTTTATACTAATGTACAACTGAGTTTGCACTTCCTGGTGCTAAGGATCAGTCTTCTCCTCAACAGGAAACTCCCTCTGAGGGAGGTGGGGAGGTCCATGCAGCTGTATTTTCAGGAGGCTTTGCTTAAGTTTATATAATGTTTCTTTCTGTGGCAGCTGATTGTTCAGGTGTTTTCAGTTTAAAGTAATCTTCATTACCACTTTGGTGGGTGGCCATCCCTTGCTTATTATTTTTTTTAAGAATAAAGCTCTTTTAAGAACCTAAGGATACTTTATATCAGAAATTATAATCTCAACAAAGACCTTTATGTAACTGGTATTTATTAAATGGTTTCTTTCAGTGAGGAATATGACAACGATTATTTCTTAATGACCCTTCTAACATTTCATGTATACATTAAAAGTTTTTATATTTAATCTCAATGCCAAATGACTATCTAATTTCATCAAATAATAGTGATTAATAGCATAAAATTCTTGATCTTTTTAAAAATGTTCTTTGAGATGATGGTAATTGTTTTCCTATTTTAATACAGAAACTTTTCAGAGTCATTGCTCCTCCTCTGAATGCAGGAAAAACACTAACAGGTATCACTTTTCTAAACCTTACATTTTTCTCTTCTTTTTATTTTAAGATATTATTTATATGTTATAAAATTCACCAATTATATGTGTGCAGTGTGAATTTTGGTAATCATATGTAATCATGTAACCACCACCATAATCAAACTGTAGGAATCTCATACGAAAATGTTTCCGCCTGTCCTTTGTACCCTATCTTTTCCCCACAGCCCTCCTCCAGGGAATCGCTGATCTACTCCTCTCAGTATGCTGCATGTAAATAGAATTATTAATATATAGTATGTAATATTTAGTGGTTTCTTTTATTTTTTGAGATGCATCTATGTTGTTATATGTATTAATATTTTGTTCTCTTTTATTGCCATATTCCATGGATTGAATATACCATAATTTTATATATTCATTTACCAGTTAATGGACATTTGAGTTGTGTTCAGTTTGGGACTACTGTGAATAATACTATTATAACATTTGGGAAAAAGTTTTTTTTTTAATTAAACATTTTGAACTAACTGTAGATTCACATGTAATTGTGAAAAATGACACATAGAGATTCATATGCTCTTTACCCAGTTTCTCCAATGATAACATGTTGCAGAACTAAAGTACAGTATCACAAATGGATATTCATAATGCTAAAATCAAGATACAGAACAGTTTCATTGCCACAAATATTCCTCATGTTGCCTTTGCTCCCCATTCCTGGCACCTAGTTTATGGATATTTCTATATGCGCATATGTGTTCATTTGTCTCGGGCAAATCCCCAGGATTGGAGTGGTTGGATTATATGGTAAATGTAAGTTTTACTTTCTGAGTTACTGCTATCTAGTTTTGCCATGTGGTTGTATTATTTTGCTTTCTCATCACTGCATAAAAGTTGCAGTTGTTTCACATCCTTGCAAGCCCTTGATATTGTCGGTCTTTTAAAATCTTATTTAAACTTTAGCCATTGTAGTGAGTGCATAATGGTATTACATTGAGATTTTAATTTTTATGTAACATAATTAGTGATATTGATCTTTTCATGTGCTCATTGGCCATCAACATATCTTCTTTTGTCAATTGTCTATTTAAATGTTTAGCCTTTTTTTAAATTGGTGGGGAGGGGCCAGGGGTTATCGTCATATTATTGAGTTGTAAGAGTTCTGAATGAGTGAACTATCTGCCAGAGCTTTTAATATAGTCTGGACACAGCCCCTTTTTCAATATATGTTTGCAAAAATTTTCTTCCAGTCTATAGTTTGCTTTTTGTTTTCTTAACCATGTTTTTTAAAGAGCAAAAGTTTTTAATCTTCATGAAGTTCATCTTATTTTTTTCTTTCTTGCTTTCTTTCTGTTTTGTTTTTGTTTTTTTGTAGTGTAGTCTTTTGGTGTTCTGTTTAAGAAATCTTTGTCCAATTCAGTGTCATAAAGATTTTCTCCCATATTTTCTTATGGAAATTTAATAGTTTTAACCCTTGTATTTAGGTGTATAGTTCATGTTGAGTTAATTTTTGTATATGATAAAAGATAAAGTTCAAGGATTTTTTTTTCCATACAGCTTTCAGTTATTCCTGTACTGATGATTAATAAGATTATATTGATTGTCTCCATTGAACTACTTTGACACCTTTGTCAAAGGTCAGTTGACCACATAAAGATGAGTCTATTTCTGTGCTCTCTATTCTATTACATTGACCTAGATGTCTATCCTTATGCCAATAACACACTGTCTTGATTATTGTAACTTTATGGTAAGTCTAGAAATCAGGTAACTTAAGTCCTCCAACTTGGTTTTTCTTTATCAGAATTAGTTTATCTAGTTCCAGTTGTTTGCTTTTCCACAGAAACTTAAAAATCAGCTAATCAGTTTCATTTAAAAAGCTTATTAGAATTTTATTTGGGATTATATTGATTCCATAGATTAATTTGGGGAGAGAATTGCTATCGGAACACCATAAAGTTTTCTAATCTATGAATATGATATATTTCTCTATTTATTTTGGTCTTAAAATCAGTTTGCTTTCCAAATTTCTACAGAAAAGGAAACTGGAATTTTTATAAGGATTGCTTTAAATTTATAGATCACTTTGGGGAGTATTGTGTTTTAATCCGTGAACACAGGATAGCTTTCCATTTATTTAGATCTTCTTTAATTTCTTTCAACAATGTTTTAACATTTTCATTGTATAAGTTATATACTTCTTTTGTTCCATCTGTTTCTAAGTGTTTTATTCATTTTGATGTTATTATAAATGGAATTGTTTCCTTAATTTTGTTTTCAGAGTGTTCATTGCTAGTATGTAGAAATAGAACTGGTTTTTGTATATTCATCTTCTACATCCTCACTGAATTCATTTATTTGTGCTAATTGTTTTAGTTGATTCCTTTGAATTTTCTAAGGAAAATTCAGATCATGCCATCTGCATATAGAGATAATTTTAATTCTTCCTTTCTAATCTCAATCCTTTTAGTTCTTTTTCTTCCCTAATTGGTCTGGCCAATACAGTGTTGAACAGACATGGCAAGAATGGACATCTTTGTCTATTTCCTGATCTTAGGGGAAAAGCATTCAGTATTTCACCATTAAATTTGATGTAGATGGTCTTACTCATTTCAGGAAGTTTCTTTCTTCTCCTAGTTTTGTAAGTGTTTTTAACATGAAAGAATATTGGATTTTATCAGATGCTTTTTCTGTGTCTATTAAAATGATCCTGTAGTTTTTGTCCTTTGTTTTATTCATATGATCTATTTGATTTCTATATGTTAAGCCAAACTTGCATTCTTAGAAGAAATCCTACTTGGTATAAAATCATTTTTGTATTTTGCTGGACTCAGTTTGCTAGTATTTTTCAAAGATTTGTGTGTCTGTATTCATAAAGGATATTGTTCTACAGTTTTATTTTCTTTTGATATCTTGGAATGAAAAGAATACTAGTCAGTATCAGAGTAGGTATGTTTTTGCTTCATAGAATGAGTTGGGTAGTGTTCTTTCTTTTATTGTTTGGAAGAGTTTGTGAAGTATTAGTGTTAATGTTTTAAATGTTTGGTAAAATTCTTTAATGAAGCCATGTGGCTCTGAGCTTTTCTTGGTTGGAAGTTTTAAAATTATTAGTTGTTTTAGTCTGTTTTGTGCTGCTACTTAAGACTACCTAAGACAGACTACCTAAGACTCGGTAGTAAATAAAGAACAGAAACTTATTTTTGAAGGCTGAGAAGTCCAAAATCAAGGCACTGGCATCTGGTGTCTGGTGAAGGCCTTCTTACTGCATCCGTACATGGCAGAAGGAAGAAGGGCAACCAGAGACAAAAGTTGTGTCTTCTCTTGGCAAAAGAATAGAAAAGGAGTGAACTCACTCCTACCAGCTCCTTTTCTAACACCATTAATCCATACATGAGGGTGGAGCCCTCATGACCTAACCACCTCCCAACACTGTTGCATTGGGGATTAAGTTTCCCACACGTGAATTTTAGGAGACACATTCTGACCGTAGCATTAATTCAGTATCTTTGCTTGTTAGAGTCTATTCAGATTATCTATTTCTCTTGAGTCAGTTTGTTTCGGTAGTTTTAGTAGTTGGCGAATTTGTAGAAATTCAACTATTTCATTTACATTATCTAATTTGTTGGCATGTAGTTGTTTATAGTATTCCTTTTTAATTCCTCTTATTTCTGTAAGGTCAGTAGTGATGTCTCCTCTTTCATTATTGATTTTTGTAATTTAAATCTGTTCATCATCTACTAATTGTTGTATCTATTATTTAAAGTGGGATATTGAAGTCTCCAAATATTATTGTTACATTATTTATTTCTCACTTCAATTCTGTCAGTTCTTAATTCATTTTGTTTGAGAATTTTCAGTTCTATGGCAGGCGCTTTACAGTTGTGCCATTGCCTTCCCTTCCTGTCTGCACAGAGCCTCAAAGTTAGCCATGGGTTGTAGATGAGGGCCTTTCAGGTCTTCCCTGAGTATGTGCAAAGCCCCTCACATATCCTTTTAGAATTTTAGGAATATGTTTGAGCTTGTCAATCAAAAAGAACCCAAACTCTGTAAAATAATTTGTAGGGGTTTATTCTAAGCCGAATAAGTGTGACCATGGCCCAGAAAGCCATGCCCAACAAGCCATGGGCAAGTGGTCTTTCTGTGATTGGATTACAGTTTGGTTTTATACATTTCAGGGAGGCAGGAATTACATGTAAAGTCATAAATCAATACATGGAAGGTGTATATTAGTCTGGCCCAGAAAGGCAGGATATCTCGAATTGTGGGATTACAGGTTATAGGTGGGTTTAAAGACTCTTTGATTTGTAATTGGTTAAAGAAATGAAGCTTTGTCTAAAGGCTTGGAATGTTTTAAGTTAAGGAAGTCTGTTAATCAGAGACAAGCCACTGGACATATTCTGGACATATACTGAGACTCAAGTAATCTGTTAAGTAAATTGATGACCTACAGATGTTGTTTAACCTTTGTCTTACATGGCCTTAGGCCTTTTAATGATTTTGTATCTTATCGTTACAAAGAATAACTCCAAAAGGGACAGGGCATAACTAGGAGTGTCTGACCTCCCTTCTCCTAGTGGCCAGCAACTCAGCTTTATGATTTTTTTTTTTTTTTTTTTTGCTGGTATGGGGGCAATGTCCCCTTGGCCAAGTCCATTCAGTTGGCTGGTGGGTGCGGGGAGGCGGAAGCAGTTAAAATTTTATTTTAGGTCACAAACTTTTCAAAACCCCCTACAGGTCTCCCATTCTCCACTTTTCCCTTTTAAGTTTTCTGTGAGCCTATTATTAGTCCCCAGCTTCTAAGGCTGTCTCTGGCAGCTGGAACGTTAAACAGTAGCACTGATTGTTTCACAAATGCCCAGGGGATAGTGCTGATTCAGGACAAAGAAAGCCCTGAGAATGGAGCTTTTAAGTAAACCGCCAAATAGGTCAAATAGTGATAATTCTCTGAGTATGAGGCTTTTGTGGAGCTCCAAAACCATTCTGCCCCTTGCCCCTTGGGAGGGTGCTAAGTTGCCAGTTTTCACAGCTGTCAAAGTTGTGAGGCAATATTAGTTTTCACAGCTACAATGAAACTGGAGGAAGGGTTTGGCACTAGGTAAAGTTAAAACTGTTGAAAGCTTACCATTCTTGCTCAGATTCAGGCAGTTTTCTTGAATAAACATTCCTCTGGTTATGGCAAATTTTTAGTTAATTTCAAGATTTCTAAAAAAGTCGATTTTCACAGTTTCACCAATGTTTTCATTGCTTTTGTGGAGGAGGAGTTTTTTGGAGGTCCTTACTCTACTGCTTCAGAGGTCTGTCCCTCTGGGTTTTGTTTTTGTTTGATTTGGTCTTTTTTTCCCTCTCTATTCCTCACCTTGGATGATTTCTGTTTCTCTACTTTCAAGTTCATTTGCTCTTTCCTCTTTTATGTCAATTCAGCTGTTAAATCCAGTTAGTGAATTTTTGTTTTCAACAATTAAACTTTTCAGTCTCCAATTTCCATTTAGTTCTTTTTGTTTCTGCTTTTCTGCTGCAGCTCTTCATTTATCTGTTGAACTTTTAAGGCATTGAAACGTATTTTGTTTTACTTCATTGAGGATAATTATTTTTAAATCTTTATTTATTCTAACAGTCTGTTCATCTCAGGGTTGGACTTAATTGATTTCCTTTTCTCTTAAAAAGGAATATGTTCCATTTTCTTGGTTTTTCATGTATTGGATTGTTATCAAAACTCTAAGGGGCTTTGTTGCTGCCCAACCAGGTTCATTTGCCCTCTGCCCAAGAGGAAGGCAATATGCTGAGTCAGCAGGGGAAGTCTTTATTTTGCATAGGGCTACATGGGGAAGATGGGAGAAATTTCTCAAATCCTCCTCCCTGAGAATTTGGGAGACAGGGTTTTTAAAGACAGTTTGGAGGCAATTGGATCTGCTAATTGGCTGGGTTTGGGGTGGAACCATAGCGTTGTAGAAATTGCCTTCTTTGCTGACCAGATTCTTAGGTGAGGGTCACAAGACCAGGTGAGTCAGTTCCTCGGTATGGTTTACTGGTCTGGGTGGGTCATCCATTCCACTGGAATGCAAGACCTGGAAGAAATTTCAGAAACTACCCCTAGGTTTCAAAAAGTTGATATTATCTAGAAAAAGCTAAAAATCTTTATGAATACCAGCTATGGGGAGAAAATTAGAATCTTTATGACCACCAGCTGTGTGGCTCCAGAGTGGTAATTATAGAGAAGCAAACGGGGACAGCCACTAATTATTATCATTATTTTTAGCTAGGCCTTTACCATAGTTCTCGCCTTATACCCCATTATTGAAGGGAGGTTTTAGGTTTGGGCCCAGACCAAGGGTGGGGAACCTTTTCATGTTGAAAGACTGCATTAATTCAGCTATAATCAGATAAGGCAGCATTGAAGAAACTTCAATTAGATATACTTAGAAATGTACATTATTTTGTAAAACTCTAACTACTATGTACTTAATAATTTCAAAAAATGAAAACTATTTGTTAATTTTAAGGTCAACTAACCTTTTAATGACTTTGTCATGTTTGCTTTTTGTTGGAAAGCATTTGGATATGCGGTTGCAGCATGGAGATCTGCAGTTTCAGTTCATCCTCTACATGGCTGTCAGTTGTTTGTGACCTTAAGGGTGTCTTGACTAGGTTGAGTGAGATCAAATAACATTTGGAATTGAAGCAAAATGTTAATAATAATTAATAATTCATACAATTTTGATTATCCATACAGTGTTAAGCATTTTAAGTTTATTTGTACTAACAACATGACAGATTTAGAGTATGTATGAAGTATTAATATTGCCAATAAAATAAAAGATGCACACTTGCTTGCATTATGTCCAGTATTCATATACCAAAAATGGAAATGTTCTTTATTATTACCAATCACGGATTCCTGTAATCCTCATGCTGTAAGCATTCCTGATTACTTTTTGATGCTCCTGCTCCATTCTGTGTTGTCCTTGACCCCCTTAGCCTAAAACTTGGTCAAATTATCTTTTTTATTTCTTTTAGTCAAAGAAATAGGATTATATCACCAGATGAAGGAATCTTATGTTTGTACATAACTTAGAAAGGGCCCTAAAGATCATGTAGTCTATGTCTGTTACTTTAGACGTTTGGGAACAATGGCCTTTTCAGCCCTAGACACTGTGGGTGGTGAAGATCCGTGTTACAAATGAGAGGACATTATATAGTTATGACTTCATATTAATTAATTGGTTGTGGTCTACAATTCATCAATTCATTGCCTGCTCTACACCTTCTTTTGGTCCCCGGCTAGTGGTTAGCTCAACAATTCATAGGTCTCCACCTTCAGATCTATTCCTTCTACATGTATCCTTGAATGACTCTTATTGATTTTGTGTCTGTGAAAAGATTCTAATGGAAATTCAAAAAGTAATAGTTTAAGTTGTCTTATCTCAATTTTCTGTTATTTAGAAATATATTTACCTTACCTTAAATGACAAGTTTTATTTTTTGTTTCCACATAAATATTATATTTCTGACAAGATTTTGAGAGAGAATTGCTGAAGATACTTTTCTTTCTATTTTAGATGAACAAGTTGTTATGGGAAACAAGCTTCTTGTATATATTAGGTAAAATTTTTTATTTATTTATGTATATATTATCTATATTTTTCCACATTATTTTTAGAGATACTGTTATCTGTCTAGTGCTTTTCATTTTTTAGAGTTCTTTTATGTAGAGCAGTGGTTCTCAGCCATGGGTGATTTGTGTGCCCTGCCCTTTGGAGACATTTTTGGTTGTTATAACTGGGGATAGAGTAGGGATGCTACTGTTATCTTGTGGGTAGAGGTGAAGGATGATGCTAAGCACCCTACAATGCACAGATTAGTCCCCACAACCGAGAATTATCTGGCCTAAAATATCAATAGGGCTGAGGTTGAGAAGCCCTGATGTAGAGTATTTTATTAATATTTTTACTACTGACACTCTGTGGGATTTGTGTTGTGTCTAGTGTCTATTTTATATACAAGGGCAAGAGATTTGTTTAAATCATTAAAAAGTTAGTGACAGAGGTAAAACTAGAATGTTTATCTCCCGATTCCTGGAGCAGAGTTCATTCTGATAGAGTATGCACGCTCAGAAATAAGTCCTGGTAGAACTTCTGGATAGACAGTTGGTTGGCAGAAAGGTAGGAAGATGGCAGAACCTGCCAGAGCATCATTTTAGCTTCTGTCTAGCATCAGAGTTAATTTTGTGACCTGTTACACACTTGCTACATTGATTATTTAGTGTAGAGGAACGTATACAGCATTTACCTAGTGCTTTATCCTCTTTAAACTCTAGAATGTGTTAGTATCCAGTCGTCTCTAATCTAACATTGAAAATTGATGGCTAGTACAAAAAGGCTTAAAATTTACCCCCACCCCTCAAAAAGAAATAGAAAAAAAAGAAGACATTCAGAAGAGATGAGTATGTTAAACAAGTAAATGTTTAGAAGACATTTGTAAACATTCAGCCCACAAGGCAAGTCATTAGCCCTAAAGAAGGTCTGATTTGGAAGTAAAACTGTAGAGTGAATTTCTCTTCATATCTAACTCTCCTCTCCACGAAGGCTTATCCTATTGCAGACATTTTCCAGACATTTACTAGCCTGGCTCTTTCCCCATCTATAATCACTATCCTTAGAGCCACTGGTTTAAAAGTAACTGAAAAACAAAAATTAGTGGTGGTGTGCTCCTGTAGTCCCAGCTATTAGGGAGGCTGAGGCAGGAGGATTGCTTGAGTCTTACAGTTTGAGGTTGCAGTGAGCTATAGTGATGCCACTGCACTATAGCCTAGGGAAACAGACACACACACACACACACACACACATACATATATATATGCCTCTGCACTGTAGCCTAGGGAAACATATATATATATATATATATATCTGTATCTGTTTCCTGTAACTGAGAACATTAGGCCTTCAACAGGTAAATCATAGTTCCATGTTGCCATTAGTTCCTTTCTAGATGCTGGGTATGAGACCTTTAGCCTGTCCTTCTTGCCCCTTTAGTGCAGCGTGGGTGTTTCTAAGGAAACATAAAGAAACGGAAGCTCCTACTCAGTCACAGGGTGTGTTACTACTTCACCAACATTTCTCTTGCCCACATTTTCTGAACAGGGTGTCATCTTGATCTGATTTGAAGCTTGACCTAACTGACAAAAGCAATCAAACTAATTTCTCAAGTTTGAAAAACAAGTTTGAAAAACAACGTGTTCCTCATTTGTCACCAAATCTGTCCTCATTCTTTCTTCTAGCTGTTGTCTAGCAGGTCGTGCCTATCCCCTTGGTGACATCCCTGAAGATCTTGTTCCTTTGGTTAAAAATCAGGTTGGTGCTATTTTCATAGCATTTTTACTGTCTGTATCTCTTGTTAAAATGTATTGAAGACAAACTGCTGTTGAGGATTTTCCCTGGGTCAGAAGCTATCGCCTATTACAGGAGAGCACATATATACTATCACTAAAGTCAATACTTTTAGCCGAGAGAGGATTTAGGAGAGAACTTATAACATAGTGGTAATTTAAACAGAATTCAGCCTGCCTTTATTTTATCCAAATGGGAATCATGGCTTCAGCAAGATACTTTGTAAGATGAGAAAATAATCAACTTTTTTTTTTTTTAAAACTTGCAGGTTTTTGAATTTCTAATTCGCCTGCATTCAGCAGAAGCTTCCCCTGAGGAAGAAATCTATCCTTATGTGCGGACTTTACTACATTTTGACACAAGAGAATTTCTGAATGTATTGGCACTGGTAAGAGATAGTTTGATTTTAAGGTGTTTTCAAAGGAGCCAGAGCAATAATTTTTTTTTTTTTTTAATATGAGGAAAGAAAAATAATAATCCCTGTGCAGGTACAATTGTTATGCCCTAGCAGTAAGTCAGGGTTTCAAATGTTTGATTTTGTTGTGCTACCCATATTTTCTCTCTAGTTCTTTATCTCCATTCCCCCATCAAAAAGTGAAAGCAAGCAGGGTGCATCTCTGATTTCATAAATTATATTACCTGGCATACTAAATATGGAAAAAGGCCCTGAAGGAGATGTGGTGGTTATGATAGTAGAAATAACTGGAGTTGAAATGGAACGTGGAAGCTTTTTGCTGAAAAAACACTCTTATATATGTTTAATTAGAGATGAATTTGAGTGACCAGGTTATCTGTGAAGATACCCCTAGGGGAATAGTTATATAAAACATGATGTATCGGCCAGGCGCGGTGGCTCACACCTGTAATCCTGGCACCCTGGGAGGCCAAGATGGGAGGATCGCTTGAGGTCTGGAGTTCGAGACCAGCCTGAACCTGAGTGAGAGTGAGACCCTGTCTCTACTAAAAATAGAAAAATTAGCTGGGTATGGTGGTGTGCACCTGTAGTCTCAGCTACTCAGGAGGCTGAGGCAGGAGAATCACTTGAGCCCAGGAGTTTGAGGTTGCTGTGAGCTAGGCTGACACCATAGCACTCTAACACAGGTGACAGACAAGACTCCATCCCCCCCCAAAAAGAAAAAATGATGTATCTTCCCAATGAACAAAAAATAGTATTTTAGTTGGTTTTTAAAAAGCTTTTGATGATATGGAAAATGCTTATAGTGTTTAGTAAAAGCAGCAGGCTCACAAATATGTACAACACAGATAGATAGATAGATAGATAGATAGATAGATAGATAGATAGATAGATAGATAGATAGAGTATTTGGAGAGAAAAGACAGGAAGGAAATATACCTAAATATTAATAGTGATTAACTCTAAGATGGAGCAAATTTCCCTAATGAATGAGCATATACTACTTTTATAAAAGTGGAGTCATAAACTTTTAAATCATTTTTAAAGGATAAGTACTCAATGAGAAGGTTATTATATTATAGTTTGAATTAGTTTAATTTGAAAATCTGACCTCACAAGTAGTAACTTTAACTTCATAGGATGAAGGGAAAAGAAATTTACAACTGGAAATTAGATCTAGTTGTTTTAGGAAGCCTTAGGTGTCTAGAGGAGAACATAAGGGTACTTGGTAGCTAGCAACTAGAGTGAAAAAAAAAAAACAAAAAACAGGACATGATGGGGCAGGAATTTGGAAAGAATGGTGGAGAAAACAAAGAATTTTACCTAATTTTCACTTTTTTGAGGGCATCAGTAGCACTAAACCACATTTGGAATTATGCTGATATCTGAATTATGATATTGGGATTTATAGTAAGGCTGCAAAACAATCTCTTTTTCATTTGCTTGACAAATATTGTGAGTGTACAGTACATCCCATGTGCCATCCTGATTGGGGGCTGGCAGGATAGAAACCCCGCCCTTGTGGAGGAAGAGAATTCATACTTGTAGATAAGTAATTATAGCACAGTACAGCACATGCCTTAGGGGAAGTGCAGGATGGTATAGGAACACTTATGAGAGGCACCTAATGAGGGTTAAGGAAGGTTTCTTGAATGAAATGACTCCATTCTGAGTCTCAAAGCCTGAATAAAAGTTAGTTAGGTGAAGGGTAGGGAAAAATATTGTAGGCAGAAGGGCAGAATATGTAAAAAGGCCTGGAAATGAGACAGAGAAATGTATATTCAAGTAATTGAACAAAAAACAAAAACAGTATGGCTGCATCTTTAAGTGTAAGGAAAAGTGCAGAAAGAAACAAATACAGAGAGATAGGCAAACTGTCTTACAATCTGTAGTAAGAAATTTGGACTTTATACTATAGCAGTAGATAGCCACTGAAGCCTTTTAGGAAGAGAAATATCATGATCTATACTTTTAAAAGATTCCCTTTGACTCCTATGTCTTAGTTGGTTTGGGCTGCTATAGCAAAACACCATAGACTGGGTGGCTCATAAACAACAGAAATTTATTTCTCACAGTCCTGGAACTGGGAAGTCCAGGATCAAGGCACTGGCAGAGTCTTGTCTGCTGAGGGCCCACTTCCTGGTTCACAGAATAGCACTTTCTCACTGTGTCCTCAAGTGGCAGGAATGGGCAAAGGATCTTCTTGGGGCCTCTTTTATAAAGGCTCTGACATCATTCATGACAGCTCTGCCCTCATGATCTAATCACCTCCCAAAGGCCTCATTTAATGCCATCACTTTGATGATTAGGTTTTTCAGCGTGAAACACAAATGGGGTAAAATGAGTAAGACTAGAGGCGAGCAGATCTGTTAGCGAATTGTTGTAGTAACCTAGGTAGATGGTGGCTTGAATTAGGGCAGTAACAGTAGGGATACCAAGATGTGAAAGGATTGGAATGATATTTTAGGAGGAAAATCAGCCTCCTGAAAAGGAAGAATATGTGATAGAGATCACATGTAACCCACAAAGCCTGAAATATTTACCATCTCACCCTTTACAGAGAATGTTTGTTTACCCCTGGATTAGGATATAGCTTGCTATCATTATCATACACAAACCCCATAATTTTTAAGATACTACAGAAAGAAGTTTTTATGCCCAAATTCACACATGACTTTGAACTTGAGTTTTAGGTCTATCTTTGTACTTCACAAACTGTAATTATTCATTAGGGCATCCTTACGTATTATTCCTCTAACAAACATTCATAATTAAAAGCATCTTTGTGAAATGATAATGTTCTAACAATGATGTGCCATTTTGGTGGCGGCTGTTAACTACTGTCAGAATATGTCATTAACTGTATCATAATATCGACACTGTAGCATGTCACCACTTAATTATGTTTACAGAAACAAACTTTTAATATGTGCTTCAAAGCAGTGACTTCATGCTGTCAAAAGGAAGATCGTTAAGGAAATTGTTTTTGACTTGCTGTCACTGCTGTAGTTAAGTACATATGTTAATCCTTCATGGTTTTGTATTTTAGTTGAACAGCTCTTGTATTAGCAGTTAGTACCTTCTATTTGTACCTGCAGAATGACATCTCACTTTAACAGACAGGGATGTGTGTGTGAGTGTGTGTGTGTGTGTGCACGCATGCTTATAAATCAGATGTTAGAACTGTGAGACTTGCTAGTCCATCTTTCCATCTTCCAGCAGGGTCATATTTAACCCACATAAACATCAAAATACCTTCTGTTTGCGCCTTCCGGATTTTGAGTTCCTACAATCTCCTTGGTAACTCTTTTCAGCATTTCTGAACTAACTGGCAGCAAGACAGACTAGTTGAAAAAAAAGTTAAAAATATTTTACTTTTCACCATAAAAGATTAACTAGGCAATGCAACAGTCATTTGTTAAGCCAGACAGGAGGAGGAAGGGAAGGGCATGCTAATAAGAGAACAGCATGAACAAAGATACTTTGGAGAAATTGGGGAAAACTTAGGGCCCATTTAAAGAACAGTAGTTACTGTGGTTTGAACAGAACTGTGGTGTAGTCTTGAAAGTTCATGGTTGTGAAATTCCTTTTTACTTTTAATTTATTGGGACAATATGTAGTCCACTTTCTTGTTTCAAGAAAATAGCAATCAATTATTGCTATTTGGATTTAAACATTTCTCAGAACCAAATGTGCTAAGTGAAAACATAGGAAAGATCTTCATCATTTAGTAAATATTTTCATTTCAATTTTTTGATAGTGGATACAATTTCAGTTTCTTCAAATATGTATCCTGTATGTGATAGGTATTATATTTTTGTGACATCCTGTTATCATATACTGCCAAACAGAATCGGGTGTTGTCATTTATTTTGATGCATGTTATATTCAAAATATATTTGGCTCTACTTGTGCAGGGACATAAAATAAAAAGTACTGTACTTGACAGTGTTTTGAGAATAGGATATCTATTAATATTCCTTGTACATAGGCTTAAGAATTTTAACATTTCAACAGTTTTACTATAATAATTTTTTTAAATCCCTATCTTTGGACATTTTTTTCTTAATTGTCATGGAAATTATGAAAATTATTTTTTATGACAGTTAATGAACTATGATGTCTTAGTTATTTCCAAATGACATAGACTGAATGATGCCTGAGTATATGGTATTTCATCCTTCTTTTCTCCCAAATTTCTCCCAAAGCTTTTGCTCCCAAATTTCCTTTTGCCACTAGTGTTCTCTTTTTCTTTGCCTCTGGATATTGCCTGCCTTTCCTTCTCAAATTTTGACACGTATTGATTTGTTAAAGTCTTGGAATACCACGCAATATTAAATGAGCTTTCTACTTGATTCACTAAAAATAACTTATCATTAAAGGTGTATAGGAAAAAACCTTAGCTGGGTGTAGTAGCTCACACCTGTAATCCCAGCACTTTGGGAGTCTGAGGTGGGAGGATTGCTTGAGCTCAGGAGTTTGAGATCAGCCTGGGCAACATAGCAAAACCCTGACTCTATAAAAAATTTTAACATTGCCAGGCATGATGTTGCACACCTGTAGTACTGGCTATCGCTGAGGCTGAGGTGGGAGGATCACTTAAGCTCAGGAGTTTAACAGTAAGCTATAATTTCTCCTCTGCACTCCAGCCTGGCTGACAGAGCAAGATCCTGTATCTAAAAAAAAAAGAAAGAAAAAACCTAATGAGGAATAGTTAACTTATTTGGGAATTTACTTGGATTTTATTAATAAGACTTCAATAACTTGTTTCCTTTAAAAATGTGCAAATGGTAATTACTTTTTAAAATTTCTTTCTCCTTTTTAGACTTTTGAAGATTTTAAAAATGACAAGCAAGCTGTGGAATATCAACAGCGAATTGTAGATATTTTGTTGAAAGTAAGTATTCAAAGAATACGTGTCTTTATATTGAAATTTATATTAAGATAATTGAACTGTTTTATAGCAGATTACAAAGTAATCTTGTGTAGCGAAGTGATATGTTGCAATCATATCTTAAAATTTTATTATGGTATCTTTGTCCTCAAGAGCTGAATTTTAAAAAATTAATATATCTTGCCTTCAAACTGGATACCAGGATAGAGGATACTGCCCTTGAGAAATGCATATTGTGATAATTGCTATATTAATATGATTATGTGTAATAATAGAGTCTAACTTGAGAGTGCTTTGAGAAAATAATGTGAAGAATCTTCTTTTGTCTCATGCCAACATCACTTTGTTGCTAAGGTAGTGCCATACTTTACCATGGCACTGAGATGATGGGTGGCACTTGAGAATGGTTTGAGGCACGTAGAGAAGATCATCCCAATCTAAATATAATTAGGTTCAGCAAAAAGCTATTTTGAGATTCATGCTAGTGCTAATGAATGAATGCGGAGACAGGTTCTTTTCCTTTTCATCTACATGACTTCAAGCAGGCCAGTTTCCTCTTGTAGTTGAAAACTTTAAGTTTTCATTCTGTCCATTTGGCTATAAAATGGAGGTTTCTTACTTTTAATGACTTTTAGATTATTTTGGATAAGAGACCAGAATTAAAATGTTTTCTAGTTTTGCATAACATCAATGTATTATACTTATGATAGTTCTTTATAATTTCCAAAGCATGTTTATGTACATTATCTCATTTGAGCTATCTATTAACCTAGTGAGCTAGACAGTGATGAATATGAGAATAGATTGCCTAGCTCTCAGATAATGCCAGTTGATCCAGTGGCTAGTATGGAGAATATTCTCCTAGATTTCCAAAATACCTTCCTTAGTGGTTTTCCTGTTCCTAACCTAATCCTTTAATTTGTGATCTTGCCTCTCCTTTACCTAATATTCTTCTGTGGTTCCCTATTGGTCAGTTGGAATTAAGTTCTGCTGTGAATGAGAGAAAACTCAAAATGATAGTTTTTTTGTGATGGGAATTTATTTTTCTCATAGAAGTCTGGAAGTAGGCAACCTCATCTAGTAGAGTGGCTTAACAATCTTATCAAGGGTGCAGATTCCTTCTGCGTCTTTTGTTCCAAGATGGCCACATGCAGGCTCCAACCATTATCTCTGCCTTCTAGCCAGCCTGAATGTAGAAAGAGATGTAGAAGAAAGTCTTCCCTTTCTTTAAGGAAACTTGTTAAAAGTTGTGTACTACAATTCTGCTTATATCATAATGCCACAAACTTAGATATATGGCCCCTTAGCTGCTAAGAGTGACAGAAACGTTGTCTATATTCTTGGTAACCACGTGCTTTCTGTTTTTAAGTTAGGAGGGAAGAATAGATGTTGGAGCATAAGTAGTACTGTGTTTCTCCGAAAATAAGACAAGGTCTTATATTTATTTTTCCTTAAGAAGATATCCTAGGGCTTATTTTCAGGGAATGTGTTATTTTCCCCTCAAAGCTTCGGCTTGCTAGCACGCACAGCATGGCCGGGACCTGACAGGGGGAGCCGACTTTGTTGGTGGGGCTGCCGCACCTTTCTGGTCACCTCTGGGATAGTAGCTGTCACGATGGGGCAGATGAAAAGGGCTACTTGTCTTTTTTACCGCTTCACAACGAAATGCATGGGTTGTGCAGATACGCTGCATAGCCACGCCCATCACTAGGTCTTATTTTCGGGGTAGGGCTTAGATTATGCAAATGCTTAGAAATCCTGCTAGGGCTTATTTTATGGGTAGGTCTTATTTTCGGGGAAACATGGTAGTTCCTGCCATACCCATCTAAACTGTTTAACATGACATCAAAGATTCTTTTATGTTTGCTGGTCTCTGACTATTTTTGTATAATTGTTCCTCCCCTCTCCCACCCAGCTCCTCACCCCTACACACACCCTCTATTATATACTCCTCAACCATATCAAATTATTGGAATTCACTAAACTTTCTGTGTCATCTTCATGGTTTATGTTCTTTGCAGGGGTTTTCTTTCAGCTTGTCGTGCCTTTTCCTTCCCTTTCACTGACTGGCAAATTCCTAACCGTTTTATAAGACTTAACTTAAATGTCATCCATGAGAAACTCTCTTTGAATCCTTTCCAACACTTCTAGGTTGATTAGTTGCTCCTTCTCTATGTTTACACAACACTTTATGCCACACTTTGCACACTGTGTCATAATTGTGTACTTATTTTCCCATCTGAACCTGAGCTTCCTGAAGATAGAGACCATGAGGATTATTATAATATTTTCTTTTTTTTTTAGGTCATTGTTTTAATTTGCCTAGAACATATCCAAGACAGTGCCTGGAATCTAGTATATCTTTAAGAAAAGTTTGTGAGTTGTTTAGATTGGAGTTTGAGTTACTTAAAACTCCAAGTTACTTAAAACTCTAAGTTACTTTAAACAATACTAAGAAGTATAATACAAATGCAGAGAGTAAAACTCCATAAAGTACTTAACTATTACTGTTGGTGAATTGCCACTCTTGTATATGGTTTTCAAAATATTTACACTGGGTCAATGAAGAATGAACTTTTGAGATTATTTTTCTCATTTCTTGTTCTAGAGGTGTACTAATTTGTTAAAATCTACTTCTGAGGTTCCAGGGAGAGTATAGGCAGTGACCAGAGAACAGGAAAATGAGCATTATTATGTGTGCAGAATGGCTGCAGACAGGGAAAAAACTGTGTATTTGTGACTTTTTACAAGATTGGCCAGAAAATTTTGTAGGCATGGTCGCTGAACTAGGTCAAAGAGAGGAAATAGAGACTTTGTAGGATGATAATCAGTTAGATAGTCACCGAGGTGGCAAAGGAATTGGCTGTGGGTTAAAGCTATTTTCTCAAAAGATGTGTATGGAATAAGACAATTTAGGAGTTTACACTTATAGAGCAAAAAGAAGGGCAAGAGACAGAAGAGCACTAGCTGAACCCCAAGAGTTGAGTCCTAGAAAAGGGACCTGCAGACTGAAAAGGAGTGATGACTGAGTACTTTAAAGCTAAGAAAGCTCTTCGAATATTATGTATTGGAATTTGTGTGTGCATGTGTGTCTATGAGAGAGTTTTTTTTAACTCGAGATGTCTACATACTCTAGTAATGATGATGCAAGTAGATTACTGGACTAAAAGCAGGAAGGGTAAAAGAAAGGTATATACTGCTAGCAAAGTAAGAAGAGGTAGGTCAAAAGCTAAGAAATGTTTTATAATAGGAGAAATCTTATACTTTATATTTGAATGGAAGATAGAAAGCAGGAACTTGGGACTTTTTAATAGATGTGCCAGGGTATTAAACACAAATTTGTTGTAGAGTTAGCCCATGAATTCAGCAAGCCCAAAGCAATATGTGATCTTCCTTCCCAGAATTCTGCATTCTCTCTTTGTTAATGGCATCATTATCCCACCTGCCAATTAGGCTCAAAATCTGCCATTTTTTATTGCTCCTTTAACCACGTGTTTCCACCCATAGGAAGGCCTGTCTGTTTCACCTCTCTCTGCAGTGTCTTTTGCACCCGTTCCTCCTTCCATTTTCATTATTCTGAAAGTTCAGAAACCTTTCATCTCTCCCTGGACCCCTGCAGTGACTTGCATCTTGGTCTCCCTGCCTTCTGTTTCTTCCTTCCTTTGCTTTATCCTGTACACTGCTGACAGGATAATTTCCCTAAGCACAGTACAGACCATAATCAACTCCCTGAGTTGAACACCTTTAGTAGCTCCCAAGTTTTCTGTGGAATAAATTTCAGATTCCTTAGGCTGACATTTGAGGCCTAATCTTTTCTTTCAGTCTAATTTTTCCCTCCTTTTGCATGCTACTGCATTCTATTAAAAATTCTAGTTCCCCCTAACAAGCTCGTATTTTCCCATGTCTGTGCTTTTGATCACACTCTTCTCTCTGCTAGGTTTACCCTCTCTGCTGACATTTCTCCTGTCAAAGGTTCTGCATGGGCTTTAAAACTTAGCTTAAAAGCTATTTTTCTCATTTCTTTTCAAATTCCCTCTCTAACCAGTTGAACTAAATTTTCTCCACTGTGCTTCCATAATCATTTCTGCCTTTATAAATAGCAGTGATCACATTATACCTTTTATTTAAGATTTGTTTATCTGTCTCTCTTTCTAGTTCCTAATTCCTTTAAAGGCACCTTAGCATCTCACACATAGTGGATACTCAGGAGATGAGAGCTGAGTTAAAGCACAGGAATGACTGTGATTTGATAACTGTGTGTGATTGTAAAAAGCCCATTATACAAAACCATCTGTTCAAGGAACTATTTGTGGACACGGCAGAGGCCATTCATTTTATTGATGTGTGCAATAGCTGACTTCTTTTCTGCGATACCTTCACTCTCAGGTTATCTTACTTTTAAACCTCAAAGCAGTTCTCTTCCCTTGTGGATGGACAGATTTTTATAGAGTTATTTAAATTTAATTTAAATTTAATTTTAATAGGATTATCTAAGAATTCCTGAGGGAAACATAATTAATATTTCTTTGAAATCCTACATCCACATCTCTGACAATTCAGTTCTCATCCAAATTGTGCTAGAAAAATGCCCAAAACCACTAAATTGTTTCCCTGTTAGAGTATGCGAGTAGTTGTATTTCTTCTGTAAATGGTATTGAACTCAATTGTTGCACAGTCTATAAAAGAATCTTTTCATGTGTCTTCAGTAATGAGGCTTTTCCCCCCTTCTAATTGTATATGGTTTTTTTTGCATCAAGCCAGATGGTCTATTGAATAAATGGTCTATTTTGCTCATCAGGTTATGGTGGAGAATTCAGATTTTACTCCCTCACAAGTAGGGTGTCTCTTTACATTCCTCGCTCGGCAGCTTGCAAAGCCTGACAATACCTTGTTCGTAAATAGAACGCTTTTTGATCAGGTAAGTGTCTTTAACAATGAGAACTAGAAATGTCTTCTGTTTACTGTACAAAGTTCACTGCATTACACTGTTTCTTAATATGACAGGCTATTGAATAAATGTCTTATCAAGGAGAGGCCTGTTCAGGTTTCTGATCTAAATAGGGGTGTGTGTATCTTCATGATGTGTTCCAAGTAGTATGACTTTGCCTAGTATCCTGATATCATGAGAGTATGGTTTTGTGGAGATTGGTTTATAGAGAATTCTGTTCTCTCACTTATTCTGTTTATCTAAATTATGTAGAATTCTTTGCTCAAGAATTTTCCAATTTAAGTATTCCATCTCACTGGTAGTAAGACTATGATGACCAACTACTGAAAAAGCGATTACTTTTGGAAAATCTGAATTTACTTACAAATGACTGACTCTGAAGATACCTCCTAATTCCAGTTAAATATTTCCTACATTTCTATAGGTGGCAAAGAAAGTATTTTTTGACTGGAGAAAGTAGCTAATAATGACTAGCATTTACTGAGCACTTAACAGTGGCAGACATTGTTCCAAAGCTTTATTTATATGTATATGTGAACTCAATCCTCCCAGCAGTTCTGAAATAGAGACAGTTACCCCCATTTTACATATAAAGAAACCAAAGCCTGGAGAGATTAATTTATCCAACATCATACTTATAAGTATTATTATTAGTAATAAATGTTCTTGTTAAGTATTAATAAGGTTAGTATTCAAATTCAAGTGGCCTAACTCCTAAGTCCATGCTTTGTTTGGTCCATGGTATCATGGAATGTAAAGATAAGGTATATAGATAACACTGCCTTCTAGTTATGTTTCTAAAAGTATAGAAATATGTGTGTAAGACTCAAATTGTTAGCATATCTGAGCCTGATGTTTCATGTACTAGGCCAATCAGTTGGGGAGGTACTGTACACCTGTGGTATTTGTTATAGCTGAATGGGAACAAATTGGTGATATTGAAAGGCTAATTATTGTTTTTATTAAGACAGTGTTATGGTTTGAGTGCTGGTATCAAATAAAAAATACTTTTTCCTTGGCCAGGTCCTTGAATTTCTCTGTAGTCCTGACGATGACTCCCGACACTCTGAACGACAGCAGGTATGAACTACTAGAACTGTTTTTGCTAAAGGATGGGAAAAAAAAACAGAGTAAACTGGAAAAAACTCTTCTGTGCTAGATCTCGCCAGACATAAGGGAGAATGACTTGTGCCAAACCCAAATACTAAGCTGAAGTTAGTGGCAACCAGAAAATAGAGTGATGGTTGTTGGAAGTACAGTTATAAGGAGCTTATATCAAACTAAATTCCTAGGTAGCCTGGACCTGTCTTGCTTTCACCATGATGTCAAAGAGAATATTTCATCCTTCTGCAGTACATAGCCACGGTTAGCACTTGTTTATATCCTGCATTCCTTCAGTGTCATTGATCTGGTAACCTCTGCTAGCTGCTATGGTCCTGAATCAGAAAAGCTGTAGGATCCTCAGTATTGGCACACTTAACTTTTGAGAGTGTCCTAAAACCTCACTGCAGTAGGGCTGACCATTCTGGAGACTAGAATTCATCTGTTCCTCCACTAGTTATTGTGAGAAAATAACTATTTGATTACTATTTCTTTCTATTTATGCCACTTTCTTGAGGGTCATTTCTAGGAGTAGGAGTCTTTAGAAGCTTACCCACTGTAATCGTGAGCACTAAGAGTATAAACCCATTTAGTATTGATAGCCAGACTTGGTCAGGTAGGTAAACTACAAAAATTAAGTACTTTGAGAGCTGTGCTGATTTTTTTTTCTAGTAATAATGCACAGCTGGGAACTTGAGACTCAGCTAAAGACCACAGGATAGCAATAGTGACCCTTTCTTTGCATACCTGTGGCCCAGTGACTGCTGTAGACTATCTTAGGAAAGAGAACAGCTGTTGAAATTTCGGTTACTCTTTTTTTTTTTTTTTAATTAAAAAAAATAATAAATTTGGGGGGGTACAAGTTGAAATTTGTCATGTGTATATGTTACATAGTGGTGGAGTCTGAGCTTTTGGTGACCCATGACCTGAGTATTGTACATTGTATCCCATAGGTAATTTTTCATCCCTTGGTTACTCTTAAATTACATTGAATACAAATAGTAATGTGGACCCCCCTCATTTCAGCCACTTAGTTTGGTAAAAAGTAATTGAATGACCCTCAATATTCTTGCTTTATTTTATTGTGGTAACATATACATCACATAGAATTTGCCATTTTAACTATTTTTTTTTTTTTTTTTTGAGACAGAGTCTCACTTTGTTGCCCAGGCTAGAGTGAGTACCATGGCGTCAGCCTAGCTCACAGCAACCTGAAACTCCTGGGCTCAAGCAATCCTTCTGCCTCAGCCTCCTGAGTAGCTGGGACTACAGGCATGCGCCACCATGCCCAGCTAATTTTTTCTATATGTATTAGTTGGCCAATTAATTTATTTTTATTTATGGTAGAGACAAGGTCTCGCTCTTGCTTAGGCTAGTTTCGAACTCCTGACCTCGAGCAATCCGCCTACCTCAGCCTCCCATAGTGCTAGGATTATAGGCGTGAGCCACCACGCCCGGCCCATTTTAACTATTTTTAAGTGTACAATTCAGTGGCATTCACATTGTTGTGCACTCATCATTACCATCCATCTCAATAAATTTTTCATCTTCCCAAACTGAGCCACCATACCCATTAAACAATAACTCCTTACACTCTCCTCCCCTATCCCCTGGCAACTATCATTGTGCTTTCTGTCTTTATGAGTTTGACTACATTAGATATCTCATGAAAGTATTCATGAAATCATACAGTATTTGTCTTTTTGTGTTTGGCTTATGTTACTTAGCATAGTGTGTTCAAGGTTCATCCATATTGTAGCATGTATCAGAATTTTCTTTGTTTTTAAGGCTAAATAATATTCCATTGTATGTTTATGCCACATTTTGTTTATCCATTCATCCATTGATGGACATTTTGATATTTTCTACCTTTTGCCTATTTTGAAAAGTGCTGCTATGAAAAATCTCAATGGTTAATGTTGAAAATTTAACATGTAAGCATCAATACTACCTGTGGACAACAGATTTTTAGAGAACCATAAGACATAAAAGTGAGACAAAAACTCATTTCTTAAAAAGATATATGCAGACATGTTCAGCTTAGTGGAGGGTCAGTTCAGTGTCCTAAGGGCTTATTTGCAAACACTGTGGCATTCCTTCCATGTTTAAAAAGCATAGCCATTGATCTTTTTCTAAGACATAACTATAATATGATCAACATTATAAGGTCAGTCTACCCCTTCCATATGTGAAAGCAAGCCAAAATATCATCAAGTAATGAAAGCAAAAGAAAAAAAATAAAATTATAGTCTGCATGGCTGAATGTACTCTTAAAGAGCTAGTAAATTCCAAAGTGTTCTCATTCATTTATTTTAAATGTTCAGGTCCTTTTAGAATTGCTGCAGGCTGGAGGCATAGTTCAATTTGAAGAGAGTCGGCTCATCCGTATGGCAGAAAAAGCTGAGTTGTAAGTTGTTTTGCAGCCATATATTAGTTTTCTACAGAACTATTAATTACATTTCTCTAACTTGAAGTCCAGTTTATTGATGCATTCCTGCTTTTTTAATTAGGAAAGGTTATACAGATAATGACAACAACAAAAACCTAATTGCAAAAGTTTTTGCCTTTCTATTGAATTCCAGAAGTTACTTAAATTTGCAGAAATTGGCAGGGTAAATTTGAAGTGTTTGTACAATTGTTTTGATATGAAAGTGGAATAGTAGTTTATGCTGTTTTATTATTTTAGATTTTTTTTTAATATTTCTATAGTATTTCATAGACTTTTGACCATTAAATATTTTAGAAACAATGCAGAATTTGACATAGAAAATATAAGATAATATAAAAATAAGATATAATACTTATTATTTATAATACTTATAATACTTAGTATTTATAATACTAAGATATAAGACTTAACACTGCTATTTATCTAGTTTGTTGAATGTTTTGAGATTTAATTCTGAACAAAGAAACTTTACATAAAATGTTTACAAATTATCAATTGATACCTAACATATTGACTATTTCTTATGTTGATTTAATTTTTTTTTTGTACCCAGCTTTGAAATTTCTTATAAACAAACATAATATTTAGCAGCACCTTAAACCTATAGGTAGAGAAATGGCAGATACTCATCTCCCTTAGATATTTAACATAACTTTAACAGAAGAAATCACATCTACTATATTCGTTTGTCTTATTACTAACCTGTGTGTCTGAGTAAACTTCTTATAAAAATAAGCTAATTAACCACCTGCCTGTTTGGTACATTGAAGTTTTTCTTTTACATTCTAGCTATCAAATCTGTGAATTCATGTATGAACGAGAACACCAATATGACAAAATTATTGATTGCTACTTACGTGACCCATTGAGAGAGGTGAGTTAAGAGACTGCTTGCCTCTTTCTTACTCAGTGTTCCCTCCTTATTGAGTAGAAATAACTATTCAGTAGAAATATTTGGACATGTGTTTGCTGAGCCAAGGTTTTCTTTATTCACCAGGTTTTTAATTGAGTGATTGCTATGAGCCAAGTATACGTTGATAATTAAAACAGCTATAGTTCCTGCAGTTTTGGAACTTACAATTTAGTGATGGAAACTGACAGTAAATAAGAAAACCAAATATATGATTACAAATTGTGATAAGTGCTGGGGGAGAGAAACTGGGTCCAACTTTAGAGGAACTGACTTATCCCAAGCGGCCAGGGAAAGAATCTCAGAGAAAGTGACATATAAACTGAGTTTTGGAAGTTGAGGAGCCAGCCAAGCAAAGAGCCAAGGAAAGAGTGTTCCAGGTTAGGGCATGGTGTGTACAAAGGACCTGAGGTAAGGAAAAAATTGACATGTTCAAGGTACTAAATAGAGAAATTATATAGATGAAGCAAAGAAGGTATAGGTGGAGCATAATAGACAAGGGTAAGAGTGATTTAAGATGAAATTAAGAATGTGGACAGGGATTACCAAAAAGAAAAGTATGATATTCCTTCGTTAGGTCATTGAAAGTTAGTAAATTAAAACCAAAACTAATCAGTACAGGTTTGTTGCTTCTAAAATTCTATACTAAGCTTTGAACAATGACTCATTTTAGTGTCAGTTTTTCATCAGTTAACTATTCTAAATAATTTCCCATTTTCAAATAATGTTAATAGTTATTTACCACAACTGGTACAGATAGTAGTGACTAAATAAATATTGCTTAAGTGAATGAATGGATAAATTATATTGTCTTGTGCTCTTCAGGAGGAAGTCTTTAATTACATTCACAATATCTTATCCATTCCTGGACACAGTGCAGAGGAAAAGCAGTCTGTATGGCAGAAAGCAATGGATCATATTGAGGTACTGATTCAATAAAACTTTTTAAGCTTATTTGAATGGTCACTTAACCCAAATTAACTTTATGCTAACTAGGCATTGGCAGGTATCATATTATTGATTTAATTGAGGAGTAGTCTTTTTCGTGTAATTTTTTCTACTTCATATTTGTATTTCTAAAGCCTATGTCACACCTAATTTATTATGTTATGACTTCTGAAAATAGCCCACGTTCGATCAGCTAGTAACAAATTGGAATATTAGTGGGTTTTTACACAGTTCTTAGAATGATTCTAAGAGTACTGTGGATCTTTCTTTCCTAATAACATAATGGGAGTCATTCCCTCCAATCACTCAATGGACTTTTAGAAAAATTACTGCAATGAGTTTCTCTCTGGTATTTTTCCCTTCCTTATGTAATGGGACAATGATTCTGACCTAGCTTGGTCAGCTGATTCTCTGCTTTTGTTTATGCATGCTGTTTTATAAGAATTTAAGAGTTGACTTCAGTGTCAAAACAAAAAGTCCTTTTTAAAAAACCTGCTTATAGATTTCCAAATAGGGAGACTATATGTGTGAAAAGCATGTGATCAGAATGTATTCTGAAAAGGGGCTCCAAAATCACTCCTTGCTTTAGTTTCTTTATGTTCGTAACATACTTTTTTACCTTGGAAACCAACAGAGCTAGCAGTTTTGTTGAAATCTATTCTGCTTTATGTTTATTTTTATGTTATTTGTATATTCTATTGTGTTTATTTCTGATTACTAAAAAATAGTAAGGAAAGATACTGAGGTAATCCTAGTGTTCAAAATAACATTTATATCTGCAGAGTTTCATTCTCCTCAAATTCTCATAGCAAGGGTCAAGTGATAGATTTAGAGATGTAATGAAAGATGATTATTCAACATATTTTAAAAGTTTTTATTGTTATTAAAAAGTAGAAGAAAGGATGATCTCTGAGAAACATTGCATGTGATAAGAATACTTGGTTTTAGTTCCTGAAGGTTGTAAAGTTTAGAAAGCTTAGAAATGTGAACAGCATCTTCTGAGAAACATCTGGCTTGAAAGGTGGTAGAGTTGGTCATGAGATGTGTTGCCTGAAGTAATTTCCACACTCTCATATAAAGGATTGAGAACATGGCATATGTTATTTAATGTTGTCATATTCTTGCTAGCAACAAGATGACTGTATCTTGGCAAAAGAACCCAAGACCTTCTCCAATTTTGAGTTTTATATATTTTTCCTTTAATCATTTCATGTTCTTTTTCGTCATCCTCTTCAAGTCGCATATTTACTTTATGGTTCATTTTTCATTTCACCTCATCTGCATTATACAGTGGTGTGAGCACATGGGCTCCAGACATCCAAAAATGAAGCTGTATCTCTCTGCCTTATGTGAAATGTGATGAATTAATCAATGAGCAAACAAATTACTCAGCAGAAAACTTAAGCTGGAGAAGCAGGAAGTATTTTTGCTACACAACAATTATTTTTGCTGACTATTTTTCCCACATCTGCACATTTTTTCACCTTGAACTTTTTATTATTTCTTAAGGCCACAATTACAAGTATATAGACTTTTTGTTGAAGGACTTCTGTGTCTTCAGTAATGTTAATATAATCAACATTAAATACATAAGGGGGGAAAGCCATCATAATGAAGTGTTCTCATAATAGACACAGATTATATATTAGTGATTCTTAACACCTCTGGGGCTCTAGACATCTTTTGAAAATCAAATGAAAGATTTGGACCTATCCTTCATAATATTGCACATGTGCATAGATTCATAATTCTGTTTATAGTTTTGGGGATCCACAAACCCCTAAAAGCCATTCTTAGATTGGGTATATAGACTCCATGTAATGAATTTCTGGTTTAGATGGTTTTTCTAATATGTAGAAAACATGTTTCATTAGGTTTTCTTTTTTTATATTTTTTATTTTGAAATATAAAAAGGATTCAGAAAAGTACATAAAATAAATATATAGTTTAATTTTAAAAATTAAAAAGCAAACATCCTAGGCCCAGAACAAATAATAGAATATTTCCAGTACCCCAGACTCTTCCCATGTATCCTTTTCTGATCATAATCCTTTGGTTCCCTTTCCTCCCCAATATATCCATTATCCTATATATCTATTATCCTGAGTTTTATGACAATTTCTTGCCTTTCTGGATCCTGTTATTGCATATACATGCAACCCTAAATATTTATGTTTCTGTTTTGTCTGGTTTTGAAGTCAATGTAAATGAAATTTAATTCTATTTTTTGTCTTACTTTTGCTAAACATTTTGTTTGAGAAGTTTGTACATTTTGTAGGTAGTTGCTGCAGTTCATTTTTATTGTATAGTATTCCATATTGAAATCATATATCAGTTTATCCATTCTGCTGCTGATGGACATTTCAGTTGTTTCTAGCCTTTGACTATTAAAAATAGTCTGTTTATGATCCTTTTTATATTTGCATCTTGAGCACAGCCATATGCATTTCTCTAGGGCAGGGATTTTCAGTTTCATCTCCAAACCAGCATCAGCTGAGAATTTCATAGAAATGCAAAGTCTTAGTCTCGACCTCAGACCTACTGAATCAGAAACTCTGAGTGTGGAGGCCAGCAAAATGTGTTTGAACAAGCCCTCCAAGTGATTCTGATCAATGCTAATTTATAATCTCTGCTGTAGGGTATATAATTGCTAGTTAATTGAGATTAATATTTTAAACTTCATTGGATGCCAACACTGTATGAGAATTACCATTGGCTCTGTATCTTGCCAGACTTTCAAACTTTGCCAATCTAGTGGATGTGTAATAATATCTCATTTTGTTTTAGATTTACATTTTCTTAATTACTAATACGATTCACAGCCTTTTCATACATTTATTGGCTATTTAAATTTTCTCTTTTGTATATTGCTGGTAAGACTAGAAATTAGTGCAACCTCTGTGGAAAAGAATTTGGAGATACCTCAAAGAGCTAAAAATAGAAATGCCATTTGATCCAGCAATAGCATTATTAGGCATGTACCCAAAGGAACAAAAGTCATTCTATAATGAAGACATCTGAACTCAAATGTTTATGGCAGCACAATTCACTATTGTAAGGATGTGGAAACAACCCAAGTGCCTGTCAATCCATGAGTGGATTAATAAAATATGGTATATGTATACAATGGAATACTATTGAATTATAAAACATAGCGGTGATCTAGCACCTCTTATATTTTCCTGGATAGAGCTTGAACCCATCCTCCCAAGTGAGGTATCGCAAAAATGGAAGAATAGGCACCACATGTACTCGCCATCAAATTGGCACTAACTGATCAACACTAAGGTGCTCCACAGTAGTAATATTCTTTGGGGGTAGGGAGATTGGGGGTGGGTAAACTCACAACTAATAGACGCAATGAGTGTTGTAGGGGGGAAAGGGCATGCCTCAAATCATGGTTTTTGTGTGGCAAAGTCATAACATGTAACCAAAATGTTTGCAGTTCCATAATATCCTGAAATAAAAAAAAAAGGAAAAAAAGAAAAAAATTCTTTTCTTTTGTGAAGTGCCTGTTGAAATCTTTTGCTCATTTTTCATTTGAATGTCTCTTATGGGATTTGTAGGATTTCTTTATGTATTGTGGATGTTAGTCTTTTTTCAGTGATATATATTGCAAATATCTTCTCCCATTCTGGCTTTTCCTTTCAGTCTTTTTATGGTTCTTTTTAAGAAAAGGTTTTTAAAATTATTTTTAAGTAGACGAAATAATCATTTTTCCTCCTCTGTATGTCTTCTTTTTTTTTTTTTTTTCAATCTTTAGATCTGAGGTCCACCTCAAAGAAATTTTTATACATAGCATGAGGTTAAGTTAATTTTTTAGAATACAGATGCCCAATTTTTCCAGCAGCAGTTATATTAAAAGGTTGCATTTTCCCATTGCTCAGTAGTGCTACTTTTATCATAAGTATATCAAGGATCTATATACACTTGGTCTGTTTTTCTGGACCACCTTCTGTTTCATTGGCTTGTCTGTCTCTACATCTGTACCACACCAATCACACTATTTAATTTATTGTTTTTTTTAGAGACAGGGTCTCATTCTATTGTCCAGACTAGAGTGCAGCGGCCACAATCATAGCTCACTGCAGCCTCGAACTTCTGGGCTCAAGTGATCCTCCTGCCTCAGCCTCCTAAGTAGCCGAAATCACAGGCCCATACCACCACACCCGGCTATTTTTTATTATTATTATTTTTTATAAAGATGGGATCTTGCTATGTTGCCATGCTGGTCTCAAGCTCCTGGCCTCAAGTGATCTTCTGCCTCAGCCTTGTAAAATGCTGGCATTGCAGGCATGAGCCACCGTGCCCGGCCAACACTATTTTAAATAATGTTGCTATGTAATAAAGTTGTGCTGTCTTTAGGATACTCTTGGCTATGTTGACTTTTTATACTTTCAAATATATTTTAGAGTCAGCTAATAAAGTTTCACAAAAATTTTTGTAACTTTTTGATTCTGATAGGCATTGCATATCTGTCAATCATTTTGAAGATAATTGACAATGTTGACAATATTGGGTCTTCTCATCTATAACCCTTTATTTAAGATCTTTCTATAAAGTTTTATAGTGTCGTCTGTAGAGATTTTCTATCCTAATTAGATTTACTGTCACAACTTCATTTTTTAATTTTTATTTCAGGGTATTATGAGGGTACAAACATTTTGGTTACATTTTATGTATTTGCCTCCTCCAAGCGAGGGTTAGAGAGGCATGCCCTTCCCCTCTACAATGCTCACTGTGTCCTTTAGTTTCATATTTTTTAATGCTGTTGTTAACGGTATTAGTATTTCTTCTGAAGTCATTTTATTAAATTATACTTTCTAGGAATTTTTCCATTTTGTCTAAATTTCCAAATTCTTGACATAAATTAATAGTTTCTTAGCTTTTTAATTTCTGTAGCTCAATAGTAATATCTCCTTTTCTGTGATATTGATTAGTTATACTTTCTCTCTTTGGAGATGTATTAAAGTACTGTAAACTACAGTTTTTTTGTGTCAGCTAATTATTATTAATCTACAAATACTACTTAACACAGTAGTTACTAGCTATATCATGAATATCATAGTTACAATAACTTGTATAAGTTTTATTTGATAATATACTATTTTGGTATACATTTGGTCTTTGCATTTTAGCCATGTATTATTATGGTTCTGTTTGGTCACAATGTTCCCCCAGAGAAGGTGCAGTTAGAAAGGTAAAATAATAGGTGGCAGAAGCCAAGTAAGAAGACAGTTTCAAGAAGAAAAGGATAGCCACTAGTGTCAAGGAAAGTTCAAGGAGAAGACAGAGGTCTTAGATTTGACAGAAATAGGTCTTATACAGAATTTAATTAACAGTGGTTAACATCTTAGTCTCAATTAAAACTTAGGACCTTAAGTTTATTTCTTAAGACACATGTAGTTTCAAAATCCATTAGGCACCAGAAATAAAGTTTTAGAATTCTTAGCCAGAGAAATTGCAACTATACTCTTTCTCATTTCTTCAAGTTATTACTTTAATCTCAAGGTTGAAATTCATTGACAGAGGATTTGGGAAGCTTTTGTTCCTTCTGTTTTTCCTGTAGCTATCATGGCTGAGATCCAGAATTTTACAATGCTTTCATTTTCTAAGAATTCTGAACTACCTTTTTTTTTAAAAATCAAATTCTGATTTCTTACATGCCACATTTCTAATTTTGCTCATTTGCAATGTGCCCTTTAAATTGAGGTCCTATATCATGGTCTTCTGAAATGTAGTGTGGACACTTGTGACAGTATAGGGGTTGGTAATCATGCCTCATGTCTATGGATATTCTATTTAAATGAACCGTTAAAGATGACTTTGTCTTTTCCTTTAACTCCAGGAACTCGTGTCTCTGAAGCCCTGTAAAGCTGCAGAGCTGGTTGCTACCCACTTTTCTGGGCAGATTGAAACAGTCATTAAAAAACTTCAGGTAAATGTTAAAACATACGGGAAAAAAAATCTAGTGGGGAGACCATGATTAAATCTTCACCTAAGAAGTTTTGATTGTAGTAATTTCTTCAATTGATAGTTAATAACAGTTTCTATACATTGTCTCTGCTTGTATGTGTATGTGTATTTGAGAACAGTTGTGTGATCTCTGTGTTTGGAAATGAGGGAGTTCATCTTTGTATCAATATATAACAAATATTAACATCAAAGAAATATTTTTGGAACTACAATCTGTACTTAGTTTAGAAGTCATAATCCACAAAAGATTCTTTTTTCTTTTGCTTTAGGACCCACAACCTTTGAGATTCATATTATTTATTCATTCAGGACTTTGTCATCCTTAGATTGCATTAGTACTGACTATTTAGAATTTTTCTAGGAAAATCTTAATTAGAATACAGCTATATACTGCTGAATTTTGAGAAATCCAGTTAGAAGTACTGTTTAATGGACCTACAATTCCACTGTCCACTTCCCATGGGGGTACTAGTGTTGGGCTTACGAACTACTGTTATGGCCACAAGTGATAGCATAGGGAATAGGACAATGACAGGAACGTGAGGCACAACCCAGAGTCTGCAAGTGGCAGTGACAGTGTGTGGAATACCTGTTGAAGGTAAAAACCAGAACAGCTGGCACGAGAGGCAAAAATATGGAGTTCATTTATTTAAATACTCATTGAGGCCCCACTCTGTACCAGTGTGCTAGGCTCTGGGGACACAAATAAGAATTCCACCTTTCCTTTGTTTTTCCTATGGAACAGAGAAGCATTTACGTACATAGCTACAGTACAATGTTAGAAAAGCTACCCTAGAGATATATAAAAAGTGCTATAGGAACAAGAGAAGAGAGTGATGTGTTGTGAGAAAGACAAAAATGCCCAGAGATACCTAAACTGGTCTTGAATGATTGTCATCAGTTTTCCAAGCAGAGAATTGGGAAAGGATTTCTACATAAAAAAGATGAGGGGAGATAAAGCGCTAAGGCATGAAGCAGCATTCACAGTCAGAGAATGGCCAGGTCTATGCAAAGCACGATGTGGTGGGGTAGAAGTGGCACTAGATTAAGCTATAAGAGATAGTTTGGAGGAGAGGAACTAAATTATAGAGGCTGGAAAATATAGCTTGGGGCCTGATATAGAACAGTCTTATATGTGATGTTAAGAAATTGACAGCATATCTTCTGTGTACTGGAGAATTACTCACTTTTTTTTTTTTTCGAGACAGAGTCTCACTCTGTTGCCCAGGCTAGAGTGCCGTGGTGTCAGCCTAGCTCACAGCAACCTCAAACTCCTGGGCTCAAGCAGTCCTTCTGCCTCAGCCTCCCGAGTAGCTGGGACTACAGGCATGCACCACCATGCCCAGCTAATTTTTTCCATATATTTTTAGTTGGCCAATTAATGTCTTTCTATTTATAGTAGAGACGGGGTCTTGCTCTTGCTCAGGCTGGTCTTGAACTCCTGACCTTGAGCAATCCTCCCTCCTCAGCCTCTCATTGTGCTAGGATTACAGGCAGGAGCCCTCGTGCCCGGCCAACTAATCTTTTTTAAGTAAAACTTTAGCCAGAGAAGTTGCCACTATACTTTCTCATTTCTTCAAGTTATTACTTTAAGCTCAAGGGTGAAATTCATTGACAGGGCATTTGGGAAGCTTTTGTTCCTTCCGTTTCTGCTATAAAGACTCATCCATTAATACAATAAGTATTCATGTACTTGCCGTGGGCCAAAAGCATTAAGTACTGAGGATACAAAAACATAAATTTGATCCCTCCTCTTAAGGAAGATGACAAATAAGCCAAAAGACAATTATAGAATAGTTTGACTTGGATGATAGAGCACTGCCCAGGGTACTGAGGAAGTACATGGAGGGACATGAAGTCCAATCTAGTGAGGGCTCGTGGGAGGATGTTTCTGCTAAAACTACTCAACCTCTAGAGCATCTCTCCCCTTTCAAGTCAGCAGTTCTGGTAAATCTTTCCAGTTGTGGTGGTGGTGTTGTCCTTTAAAATTTAAGATTATCAGTCACAGGATTTTCTCTTTTTTGTAGTCTTTAAGGATATTAAGAGACAGAAAGTCCTGGTAAATGAATATAATTCTTCAGATAAATATATAAAAGCTGAAGTATAATAGATAAGAAAAAGGTATCTGTTTGGATGTGATCTAGATGCTTATGGAGTCTTAGACTTTTTTTTTTAAAAAAAGAAATGAAGTATTTATTTCATTGCAGAGCTTTATTGATTGTGTGAGAATCACACACACATCTTATAAAGCACCTTTAATTTTTATGGCAAGAAATATGCCTCTGACCAATTGTTTTCAGAATTCTTAAAATGAAAATAAGCCAGAATGTTAAGTTATAACTGGAGGAAAGTTGTGTAAAATAAAACAAAGTGATAGGGAAAAGATATAAAATCAAAGACTGATAAATATATTTTAGAAGTCATATTCTAAATGACATTAATCCTTTCAGCTTTGAAAGTCCCCTTGCTTTTTCCAGGTAAGTTTTGAACATGTCAAAAAATTAAAAAAAAGAAGTAAAACTAAACAGTAATAATTTTTGCTTAGGTTCCAAGAATGTAGAAACATTATTTATATAGTATTCAAAGGTTTATGTCATTGAATCCTCACTGTTACTCCGTGTACAAGGCACAGGAGATATTGCTGTCCTCTTTTTTTCACATAAGGAAACTGAATTGCTGAGAGAATAAGTGACTTAACACAAAGTCACAGAGCAAATAAGTGGCAGAAACAGAACCCAGATTTTATGACATATTGATTGCTGACATGTTGCAATTTAATTGTCATCTTTTCTGTAGTTGATTAAATTGTGGAGTTAATGGGCTTTCTTTGGTGGTGCTAGTGAACTTGGGCCTCAAACTCCCACTCGACTGAGATAACTATCTCATAGCAGCAGCCCATTGTCATGGAAAGACCAGGTGAGGGAATGTTAAATCCGTTGCTCTAGCCAGAACTCAACCGTCAGCAGAGCAGTTCCAAGCACCTGATACTCTGAGAGTCAGCCTGCTGGGAACAGCTCAGGGATTTGTCTCGGTAGAGGTCTTTTTTTGGCCATAACAGGATGTTTGTATTCCCTTTGCACTCAAAATGGAATGTGTAGTAGTGATTAGAATTATTGAGAGGACATAAAGGACCTCCAAAGGATTCTTTAGAATATCTTAGATCTCTACAGAGGGCTTAATGGAAATAGTCATACATCTGTTCATTTTAAAGGGATCATTTAGAGTAGTTCTTTACCATGGCATAATTTGAAAAATTTGTTTTAATATTTAATTGTATTTTTTATTGTTTTTCTATTCAGAACCAGGTTTTGCTTTTCAAATTTTTGAGGAGTCTTCTTGATCCAAGGTATGTTAATAAACTTTGGTTTTTCAGAGTACATAGATGAGAAATAAAAGTAAATAAATTGAGGTTAAGATACCAGCCCATGTTATCCAAATAGTACAATTATCTCTTGATTTTTAATATTAGTAGGAGTAACTTACATAGATAATATAAAAATACACGATCTGAAAAACAGATTACATATGGGGTAATACTTTTCTTTCCATTTGAACATGAGTCTAGAGGGAGAGTTCTCATTGATGTCATAATAAATAAAATAATGAAGCCATGCCTTGCCATGAGAATGTGTTTCAGGAAGAATTTGATGACCATATAGCTTCTTTTTCTGTCCTAGCTTCACTCCTACCTATTCCTTCTTTCATGCTGTAGACTGTTAGCTCTACTTTCCCAAGTAAACACCTGGTTCCCAGCCTACCTCTAAATTTATTACTTTTTATACTCTGACTTGATCTGTTTAATTTTAAATAACTTCCTGGTAATATGGGAAGGAACGTTTTTTCAATTGCTGCTTCTGGGACTTATCAATAAAAACAAACACAAAGAGATTATGAAATTAGTCATGAATTTGTAAGCAAAGCAGTACTGCATATGAAATTTTAAAGTTTTGCTGTGACTGAGTAGAGTACATTGGGAGTTGAGTGTAATAATATTTAACATCCTCTAAGATAGTCACTCTTAACCAAAAGTGTGTATCAGAATCACATATGAAGCTTTAAAAAATATAGATGCCTTGGCCCAACCTGCAGAATCATTGATAGTGGGGCTATTTTGATGCACACCTAGAGTTAACCATCACTGGCTTAAGTGTAATACCCAGGATGGCATAGCTTTCATATCAGACATACAAACTTTAGGTTCATTACAGTATACACTGGCCATTGAAAACAGGTATTTACTTATTTTAGCAACTGTAATATCTATTTTGTTATTCCAGTGTTCTATGCTATTTTAAAATTCCAAAACACCAGTAATTTTTTTATTATAGAAATATTTTGAAAGCTCATTTATATATATATATATATATATATATATTGGAGACAGAGTATCACTCTGTTGTTGGGGCTAGAGTGCCGTGGTGTCAGCCTAGCTCACAGCAACCTCAAACTCCTGGGCTCAAACGATCCTTCTGCCTCATCCTCCCAAGTAGCTGGGACTACAGACATGCGCCACCATGCCTGGCTAATTTTTTCTGTATAACTTTTTTAGTTGTCCAGCTAATTTCTTTCTATTTTTTAGTAGAGACGGGCACTTGCTCAGGCTGGTCTCGAACTCCTGGCCTCGAGCTATGCTCCCGCCTCGACCTCCCAGAGAGCTCATTTAAATCTTGAACTCATTTAAATTTAGAGTCAAACATGTATGTGCAGATTTTTAGAAAAAGCAGTCTGACTATCCCACTTCACCCTTATTCAAGACCTTTGCAAAGTATCTATGTTTTAACTCCCTGTCTCAGATATCTGTTATCGAGGCTAGATATCTTTTAAAAAATTTCTATTAATCATTTGTATTTCGCTCAGTCAGTTTGGGCCCCTATCTACTTTTAAAATTAACTGATAGAGATACTTTAGAAGTAGAATTGGGCGTAGGAGGGAAGAAGGAGCTGGAAAGAGGATGGAGAGAGCGGGAAGAGGGAGATATGGAAGAGCAGGGTAGACACTGAGCCAGGGGGAAGAGGAAGGAAACGCCCAGCCCTCCTCTCCATCCCTTTCTTAGAGTGCCACTTTTCCCAGTGGCACAATTTCCTGTTCCTCCTCTGTGCTTCCTCTAGTGTTAGATCCATTTTCCTCTTTTTTTTTTTTTTTTTTTTGAGACAAAGTCTCACTGTATTGCCCAGGCTAGGGTGCTGTGGTGTCAGCCTAGCTCACAGCAACCTCAAACTCCTAGACTCAAGCGATCCTCTTGCCTCAGCCTCCTGAGTAGCTGGGACTACAGGCATATGCCTGACTCATTTTTTCCATATATATTTTTAGTTGTCCAGCTAATTTCTTTCTATTTTTTTAGTAGAGATGAGGTCTCGAACTCCAGAGCTCAAGCGATCCTCCCACCTCAGCCTCCCCAGAGTGCTAGAATTACAGGCGTGAGCCACTGCACCCTGCCTAGATCCATTTTCTTAAGGCCCAACTCCTTTTTCCCGAGGATAATTTATTTTAACCATCCTACCTAGAGAGACACAAGCTGGAAGAACAGAGGAAGCTAAGCTTTGAACTTGGCATTTTCTCAAATGTAATAAAGTATAGACAGTAGGGGTGACCAAATTTACTTTTCTAAAATAAAAAATCCAGTATTAGGTAATGTAAATGTCTATTTTATTACTAGGTCAAAGACCTAGTGTTCTGCTTTGAGAGACTCAATTCTTGAAATCATATTTTCTCCTCTTACTTTATGTCTTTATACAGGAGGCAAGCATTAATTTAAATTATGCTCTAAACTTATTTAATTGGCATTTCAATCATTTTTATATAAAGAATATTTTGAGTGATAGTATCTCAGTCTAACCTGTAAAAGCCTCTTTGACTCACAATGTAAATACATATATAATACTAGTAATACATTGAATTTTGGATTGAAGGAGAGAAAGGAAGCTAAAAAGGTTGAGTGTAAGGCCCAGCTCAGGTGCAGTGGCTCCTGCCTGTAACCTTGCACTCTGGGAGGCCGAGGTAGAAGGATTGCTTGAGGTCTGGAGTTCAAGACCAGCCTGTGTGAGACCCTGGCTCTACAAAAAATAGAAAAATTAGCCAGGTGTGGTGGCACATGCCTGTAGTCCCAGCCTCTTCAGAGACTAAGGCAGAAGGATCACTTGAGCCCAGCAGTTTGACGTTGCAGTGAGCTATGATGATTCCATTGCACTCTAGCCAGGGCGACAGAGTGAGACCCTGACTCAAAAAAAAAATAAAATAAATAAAATAAGAAAGAAATGAAAAGAAGCTCAAGCACAGAGGGAATAAAGAAAGAAAGGAAGCCCTCCCTTTCTTGCTTTCAAAGCTATTCTTAGATAAAGTTTTGAATTATAGAAAATTTGTCTTTTGTGCCCTATGAACTCTACCCACCCCATTCTTTCTAGGGGTACAGGGTTCACATAGTTCTTCAGGCCCTCTGCTTCATAAGCACATTCAGATATAGAGTATTCTTCATAGATTTTAAAAATCCAAATTACCCCCTCTATGCCCCAGTCAAAACTTTTTTCTAATTGTTTTCTCCATTTTTGTACTATGTGGCACTTTTCTAATGAGGAATATACAAGTAACATATGAATACAATAAAGCATATGTATGGGGGGAAAAAAACTTTTCCTAATGCCAGTGGACGTCAAGGGTGAGAAGAGAGCAGATAGCATGGCCTGGTTTACAGACTGACTTCCCATCACATTTTAGCCTTTTTAAGTGACTATGTTTGTTATCTGAAGTAAAGGATAAGATTCCTGTCTGCTACTGGGCAAACTGAAGTGGAGAATGAAGGGAGTGTGGAAAAAGATGTGGGAACAAAAGAACATCAAGAATAGGTAGACTGGCTCTGCCTAGCCGTTGTCACTGACAGGCCAGCTTTACACTATTTTTGCCTTTGTTTCTTCCCTTTCTGTTCTACTTAAGCAGTAAGTTTTTTTTAACCTCCAAGTTTTTTTTCCCCATGAAACTCCTCTACCAGCATTCTGGAGAGTAGGGAAATGAAAGAAAACAGTTGTTTTGATATGAGGACTACTTGTATGTATATATCATATCAGAATGTTGCTGTTTTTGCTTTTGCCCCCAAAACCAGAGTTAATAGGATTCTCATTCTTGTATATATAGTTTATTCGTATTTGATTTAACATTTACATGTGTTCGTGCAGTTGTTTTTGAGGGGTTAGCTTTTTATTCTGTCAATAGCATTTTTAAAGGAACAGATCATCTAGTTGAATTCACATTTCTCCGTCTTTACCCAATTTCTTTAAGTTATCTCTGTTATGTAAATAATTCTATCGGTAGAATTAATTGACCTACAAAGATATTGGTGGCATCTGTACATAGAAAGATTAGATTGTTTGGGGTTGGGGGGCAGAGGAGGCTAATCCTTTAGAAGCAAATTACTTGCCTGAATTAAGGCCAACAGCTTGGGAGAAAGGATTTGCATCCTCTTCCAGTTCTCTCCTGGAGGACAGCTGCCACATAAAGCCCAACTCCACCCCCACTCCCAGGGTGGATGCCTGCTGGCCACGAAGTCTCACAGGAGTCCTCCTGATACATTTATGTCCAGATGCAAGTCCTGTGTGCAGTGGGGATGCTTAAAGGATAATGCAAAAGGACACTGATGTTTTATGTGAGGCCATGAGCTGCATAAATGGAATAAAGAGAATGTACAAGTGTATTTACATTCAGAATATTTTCCTCAGTATGGTTTTTCTGGTAATGTTGATTTAGCCTTTGTTAACAATGTCCTGGAGGCCTCTGAAATATATAGTATGCTTTTCTTGTAGGAAAAAAACACATAAAACATCGCAGTGTATTTGAAAGTCTTTAATCAAAATGAAAATTAAACATTGCTAAGAAAATGAGTTGCTTTGTCAAGAAGCAAAATATAGATTATAGAAATGCTTCTACATTTGGTTTTAGTTGAATCTGCCCGTGTTTCTGTGGATGTTTTTGAAGGGACATTTAAAAATATTGACAGTAAAATTAAAAATTAGAAGGTTATATATGTTCATGAACATTGACATATAAAAATATATAGCAGCTTCAGTGAGTGCCTGCAATGGCCAAGCTAACTGTCTGTTTGGCCAGGCTCTCCCCTGGATATCATATCTTTGGTTAGTATTTTGCCAACAACTCAAATTCAACTGTTTAAATCTAATACATCATCATTTCCTAATCTCCGGTGCTTATGTCAGTCTCTCTCTCCTCCACTTTCTTTTTCTCTCCTTATGTTTATGTATTTCTATATATAATATATTGTTACATATTATATTTTTATATATAATGATATATATTTTGTATATGTCTCCTATGTCTTAGTCTGTTTGCATTGCTATAAAG